CACTCATGGAAGACTCTCATGAAAGACACTCACGAAAGACACTCATGAAAGACACTCATGAAAGTCACTCACGAAAGACACTCATGAAAGACACTCTTGAAATTCACTCATGAAAAACACTTACGAAAGACACTCACGAAAGACTCTCATGAAAGACACTCACGAAAGACTCTCATGAAAGACACTCTTGAAAGACTCTCATGAAAGACACTCTCGAAATTCACTCTCGAAATTCACTCTCGAAATTCACTCATGGAAAACACTCATGAAATTCACTCTCGAAATTCACTCTCGAAACTCACTCTCGAAATTCACTCTCGAAAGACTCTCTCGAAAGACTCTCATGAACTCCACACCTACAACAGGCCCGTGCATTCTGTCCATGACCTGAACCATAGCCTGATCCACACATTTATTTCACCCCATACCACAAAAAACACCCACAAAACAGCGCCAGCCTCGTCTTCAAATGCCCGGTGGCCGGATTCCAAAACCTCTTTGCCAAAAGGCCGGCTCGTGGTCTCGCTCGCAGCAGCCGGCAGCAGGCCCGGTCACGTGACACAGGCAAGCCCCCCGCCCTTTTCGCCATCCAGCCAGAATAATCCGGTATCAAGCCCCCGGAAATAACAAGCTCTTCCCCCATCTGCCAGCCCCCACGGCCCGCACCGAAAAGCAGCCAAAGCCCCCAAAAAAGTCCAGGCCCAGTCTCCGGCCCTGCGCACCGTCCCCCATCCCAGAGTGCACATATGACCTCATCTCCGCACCTCTGAATTTTCCCATATATATAGATTGCCTGTTCTCTCTCCCCCAGCGTACATATTTCTCGTAGACAAACACAAAAAAAATGGCGTCTTTGCTCCCAATCAGCACCTACAACTTGGTTCTCGAGCCCTTCAGCCCCGTGCCCGCCGTGGACGATGAGTTCCCCGTCACGATCAGATTGACCATGGCAGCTGTGGACTTGGAGGCTGTGGACGACAAGGCCGAGCCCTCCACAGTGAGGATTTTGAAGCGTGCACGTGCCTTCCTCGACGACGACGAAGAGGACTTGGCCGAGTTGGAGGCCGAGGAGGCCGACGAGTTGGACTCAGACGAGGAGGAGGAAGCGCCCGCCAAAAGCGCGGCCAAAAACGGCAATAAAGCCGCCGGCAAGGCTGCAAAAGCCGCCGAGGCTGAGCAGCAGTCGGAGAGCGAGTCCGGCGACGAGTCCGGCTCCGGCTCCGACAGCGACATCGACGACGACGCCGAGATCGAGGAGTTTGTGCTCTGCACGTTGTCCCCCAAGGTGCAGTTCCAGCAGACGCTCGACTTCACCATCTCGCCCGCCGAGGAGGTCCATTTTGTGGTCACCGGCTCGTACCCCGTGCACTTGAGCGGCAACTACGTGGAGCACCCCGCCGACGACGACGAGGACGAATACGACGACGACTACAACTCCGACGAGGACGACCAGTACTACGAGGATGCCGGCGAGTACGACGAGGACGACAACATGACGCCGGACGAGGACGAGCTCATGCGCATCGAGGACTTGGAGGACGAGTCCGACGTCGAGGGCAAGATCGACGAGTTGGTCCAGCAGGACGAGAAGAAGGCCGCCAAGAAGAGCGCCAAGCGTGCTGCGGACGAGCCCGAGCAGCCAAAAACCGCCAAGAAGGCCAAGGACGACAAGAAGAAGGTGCAGTTCACGCCGGAGTTGGAGCAGGGCCCCACGGGCTCTGCCAAGGACGCCAAGAAGGACGCCAAGAAGGACAAGAAGGACGCCAAGAAGGACGCCCCCAAGGCCGACAAGGCCGACAAGGCCGAGGCCAAGGACAAGAAGTTCAAGACCAGCACGCTCTTGGGCGGCGTGGTCACGGAGGACCGCAAGACCGGCAGCGGAGCGTTGGCCAAGTCGGGCAACAAGGTGGGCATCCGCTACATTGGCAAGTTGAAGAACGGCAAGGTGTTTGACAAGAACACGTCCGGCAAGCCGTTTGTGTTCAACTTGGGCAAGGGCGAGTGCATCAAGGGCTTTGACTTGGGTGTGGCCGGCATGGCCGTGGGTGGCGAGAGACGCGTGGTGATTCCGGCCAAGATGGGCTACGGCTCGCAGGCTTTGCCCGGCATCCCTGCCAACTCCGAGTTGACCTTCGACATCAAGTTGGTGTCGCTCAAGTAGACGGGCTGCGGCCGGCGTGCGGCCGTTCCATACTGCAATACATTGAACTGAGAGTATAGGATTGAGGGTATAGATGTAGAGCTGGAGGGGCCCATGGATGGATGGGTGCAGAAAACTGCGTGGATTGGTGCAGAAAGCTGTGTGTGTGAAAGAAAGCTTGAAGGGGGGCGAACCTGGACAGGTAGGTGCTAGCGAGTAAGTTGCCAGAATGCCGTGTTGTTGGCATATCTCAGTATGCCATAATCCAGAGCAAGACCACATCAACGGAAGAGGCCTTCACTTGCCAATATCAAGTCCTGGCTGGCCTTGATGCAATGACGGTGTAACGAGGCTCAGACAATTATGACTGCTGGGTTACAACACGTACCTTCAAATGCACGAGCTGGTACTAATGTGAATCATCCACACGAAAGATGAGTCGATGCCTCGTGTGGCTGGTCACCGCCGTTAAAGTTTTACCAAGAGAACTTAAACCGTGAAGCCAGAGGCCGAGGCATATAGCACTTGAAATCATACGAAAGAGCCAGAAAGTGTCTTTGATCTAGGATTAAATCTGCCGTTGTCCTTGCCAATGGCATTTATTTGTGATTATTACTGAGACCAACGTCTACCTAGCGGTTGCCTGTGTTGAGCTCTGCAAGACCCGTATCACCAAACTAGAATACATGAGATCTCCAATTCCCATATACATCCGCAGACTTATGAATGTTCTTGTACTCTAGGCCACCCATATACCCCGTATCGACACTGCGACAGACTCATTCAGCCTCGGAACTCAATTGGCACAGGACTCTGTAAACTTCCCCCTCTAGCAGAACCATCTTTTTCAAAGGGCTTGAGACCCCATACACAGCTCAGCTCCACGCAAAGAGCGAAGCAGCTGTGTTTCCCAATTCACTTTGCTTGGACTGATCTATTTACAGGTCTGACAGGACAGATTGACATTCTTGAGTACCAAAATCAAAGGAAACTGTGTATGCAAAACCCGTGGAGATCTCACCCACTAAATTGATGTGACTATCGGGTCTGTGGTGACTAGGAACCGTGGCTCGAGCACCTCTTGGTATGTTTCCCAGCCTTATTGTAATCAACAACCCTCAAGAGCCCACACATGACTTTCTCCAGCTTCTCTGTGACCGATTGAGAACGCTTGACTATGGTCTAATTCCCATACCTTTTATTCATGTCCAGCTTGGCCTCTTGACTGTGAGTCCTGCTTTGGTGTATATGTGTTTAGTTCCGTTATCAACATAGCTCGATGCTACTTGAATCCAACTCCTTGGCACTTTTTAGACACCCTGTCTTTGATCCATGACTCCGGGTAATCGTACGTAGAGCTGATTCCGAACTCAATTTATTTGAGCGAAGTCGGTCTTCGATACAGTTGTATTTTTGCCTCCTTCCCAACAGAGCCAACAAGACTAAATCACCCCAGATCCCATAGAATATGAATCAAAACGGGCCTGGTGCTTCATAGTCGGCTCCAGGCATGATGAAGAACACACATGAGGATCTGCTCCTCTGATGGTCTATTGTGCAACAGGAATTGGTACAAATAAGGTGCTGCAAATCATTGAGTGAACGCCATCCTGCGACCCCACTCCACATACATACCGTTCATCATGAAAGAATCGCTCAAAGCCCACTAGGCCTTGGATCCATTTGCATGTTTTCTCAGGGAACTCGCTCATGGCTGGCACTAGTATTCTGGGAGCGTCATCTTAACGAATGAATATGATGAATGAGCAATCTTATTGATCCCATCATGTACATAAAGTTCCAATGCATGGATCCTGTAGAGCGTGATGGCACAAATGTCTGTGCAGTGTCCTGGAGTATAGAAATAGCCCATCCCCTCCCCACACTTCAGCCATAGTGAGTATAGAATCCAGATAAAAGTTCCATGAGATCTATTCGTGTTCCCATAAAGAAATCTTGATAGCGCCATGTTCCATTGCGGCCTGTCAGAGCCTATTTTCTGAAAACAATTGCATTCAAAAGCGAGCCAAAGAGCCACCCAAAAGCCACTAGTATCCCAGAAAATATGGCGAAGTCGGGTCTTTCCATAGAGAAGTTTGTGTTTTCTGGCACTTTGAAAGCTGCCACAAAAGCAGACACCCAGTTCTGAAGAGTCTTCCAAGAGGTGATTTCAGAAAATGAGATCCGATGCGTCCCAGTTTCAATGTCAAGAACGAGTGTTTCAGGTGGCACAGATTCCTCGGTACCTCTGGCATCCGCTGTTTCGGGAGAAAGCTGCTGCGAGAGACTCTTTAATTCCGCCGAGTACTCCTCCATTTTCAGCTGCACCTCTGCCTGGAAAGCATTGACCAACTTGCGGCGCTTCCACGGCTCGACAAAAAACGTGGCGGTTGCAAAAAGCATGATGTTGACGCCCATAAGCATCCACGTGCCCCAGGTCAGTGCCTGTCTGATTTTGTCACTCCACAATTGCTCCTCGTGGTACCTCGTGAGAATCAGTGCAGTGAGCTTGATTTGCACGGCCTCCACGTTCTGCTCGGCCTCGTCCAATGCTAGCTTGCTGGAAACCTCGTCGTGCTGGTTGCGGTGGTCGTTTTTGTATAACTCCGTGAATCGCTCCACGTCGATGGGTGACCACGTATGTTTCCGAGTGAGGAGCTCGTTGATTTCTTTCTGCAGATCGGACCGGTTCTGGATAGCACGCTCGTATGAGGCCTTGGCGATTTTCACCGCCTCGCGTGCCTGCTTGATATCCCGCTCGACTTGTTCCACTAGAAGCTTGTGTTTTTCAATGCCCGAGTAACCCGTGGCGTCGTTCAACGACCGGGCCGCCAACCTGAGCGAGTCTTGCACCCAGATCCATTTTTTCTGCGTCCATACTCTGAAGTAGGCCCGCTGCTGCTCGACTTTCTCATGGAGCTCATTTTGGAGTGATTCTAGGTCGATGTGTCTGGCCCCACCGGCCGAGCGGGTCTGGGACGAGCTCTCTTCGGACGTATCCTGAGTGGCGTGTTCTCTACAGTTTACTGGGGAATCTCTGGCCCCTTTCAGTTCAGCTTCGGCGCTGCCTGGTTCTGGTTCTGGGGTCTGTTTCCGGGTGTACTCTGGGTTTTCCTTGAAAGCCGCGGGCCCAGGCCCAAGGGCCTCTTTTCTGGAATTCTCCCACTGGGCCTTTTTTTCCCTGTCGGATTCGGTCTGGAGTTGTTTCTGCCGCTGCCTCTCGATCTGCCGGGCCGCAGACATGTTGGACGTCTCTATTATCTGGCGTAATTTTGCGTCGTCGTAATCGGAACAGGTGGGATCTGTGATGTTTTCATCATTCCGAGCTCCGGATTCTGCGCCGGTGTCTATACTAAGCTTGGGATTATTTCCCGGGGCGCTGGGGCCGGGCTTTGCAGACGCTTTTCCTGGTTCTAGTGGGGAAACCGGGCCCGGGCCCATGATTTGCGAGTGCCGGCGGAAAAAAGGAGACCCATGCAGAAACAGCGGCTTGCACCATTGGAGTGTCTGGTAGCCGAGCTGCCTTCGTAGGAGCCCCAAAGTCATGGCTACGTAAGGGGTTGTGTTGCAAAAGTATATGGGTATTAATTTCCGTCTGGAGACTGGCCTGTTCTGTATAGGCGCGCTCGACTGTCTGAGGCCCAAAAGAGCAGGCCCGGATTTCGGCGTGCCAGGCCTGCCTTTTCGCGGGGCCAGGATTTAGGCCCTGCAACAAAAGAATTTGAACAATTCGGACATTGTCACACGAAAAGAACCGTCTGAGCCGGTGTTTTTTGGCCCGGTGTCTCAGGGGTCTATCTTGCCCGTCCTGGAAAAAACGCATGCATTTGGAGCCGTGTTTGTTTTTTTACAAGGCTTATTCCCAGAATTCTTTTGCAATACTTGGGCAAGTTCTGCGCAGAACTTGCAGACACTAGCTGCGTCGGAAAAGTTTTTGTTTTTGGTGATGGGAAAAAGGGCGTTTGAAAATAGCTCCTCGCAGGTTTTCACGAAGTTTTTCTAGGAAGTCAGAAGATTGAGAAATTGCACGGAGAGAGATGGATGAATGAGAGAGCCTGATAGCGGAGCCATTGCTGACGAGTATGACGGTGAAATGAAGCCTCACTGAGGCATCGAAATACGCGCAGAGGCCGAACGGCAAATATCGAGAGTGCGAGATCAAATATGCAATGAACAAATCAGAGCGGCCAGACTGGGCAAAAATAGAGCAAACATGTAGAGCAAAGAAGTGGAGCGAAAGAGCAAACGAATGGAGTGGAAGAGAAGAGCGGACTTAGAGAGAACATTGGAGAACAGAAGCCACCTGAGGAACAAAATTAGGAGGGTAGACTGGGCAAACACTTAGAGTGAAACCTCGGCAGGATGGAGCGAACAAATCAGAGATCGGCCAGAAGCACGAGGAACAAAATGGAAGTGTGGAACAAAATGGATACGTGGAACAAAATAAACAGCCAGAAAAACTAGCCAGAAAACGCCCTCTCCTACCAATCACACCTGGTTTGATCGCTTGCATGCCGGAACATCTCCACCGAGTGACCGCATTGATCCGCGGATCCTGGCAAAAAGCTTAATCCTCATTTTATGTGCATACTCACATCAAGAAGGCTTATCGGCACAAAGCGCGCAAACGTTCAGCAATCACGAGACCGCACAATTGCCGCACGTCTATATAAAGCGCCCGTGCCACCCACCCCGGCTTTCCTCTTCCATCACTTTCTTGTTTGTAGAATCAAAGCAATTTGAATCAAACCAGACCGAACCAAGCAATCTAACCGAACCAAATAAATATGAGTTGTTGTGCATCTACCCACCCTTCTTGCAAGTGCGAGAAATGCCAGGGAGGCAACTGCCAGGGAGCCAAGTGCCAGTGCGAAAAGTGCCAGTGCGACAAGTGCCAATGTACCAAGTCTTGTGAGGGCAAGGAGTGTGAAGCCGAATGTGAGGACAAGTGCAAGAGTGAGAATTGCCTGTGCGACAAGTGCCAATGTGAGAAATGCCAATGTGGAAAGTGCAAGAGTGATAACTGCCTGTGCTCTGTGTGCAAGTGTTCCACGCGTCCATGCGAGAAGTGCGAGTGCTAAGCGGATTGCGGTGGAGGCAGTGTGCCAGGAAGGGAAATGGAGAGATTTTGAGTTAAGGAATGGAGAGTTTTAGGAAATGGAGAGTTTTAGGAAATGAAGAGTTTTAGGAATGGAGAGTTTAGGAATGGGGAGTTTTAGGAATGGGGAGTTTTAGGAAATGGAGAGTTTAATGAAAGTTGATTAGAAAAGCCACGTGACACCGGCTCGCGCTGGTTAGAAACCTCGTAGTCTGCGGAATAGCCTCGGTTGCGTTTTGACATCCGCTTGCGTAGACCCATTGCCCAATGGGTATTTGGATGTCTCAGAATTACGAAAAGACATCCTTGCTTCAAAAAGAGGAAACATAGACCGTAGGCCTGCGCAGTGTATCTTCCGTTCGTCGAGATTAGTTGCCAAACAGCACCGCTTATAGATGAACCGCGGAATCTTCTCATTCCCATTAAATAGGGTATTCTTCATCTAATCCAACACATTCATTCACAGAAGTTATGACAAACGACTCGGGCTGTTTTGTTTGTAAGTGATAATTCTGCTGCATCTGCCACAGAACTTAGGTACCTTTTATACCTGATCTACTTCGGGTACTCCGACCATATTCTATTCAACAAAAAAACTATTGGTGAAGCTGAGTGTTAATAGGAGAAAGACTTGATTGGCCTTTAAGAAGATTCAAAATCATGTACGACTGCTTTTCCAAACATATATCATGTCTTGGGTGCTTCAGTGATTGAAGCAATGAATCTTTTGACTCTAGTTATATACACATTGTGGTCCCTGGAAGATTACTCCTTTCCGCTTTAATGATTCTACATCAGAATATGACCATAGCTGGTTCAGTAGGTGCAGATTCTTGGCTGTATTGGTCTATACACAGATGATCAGTATTAGTCTCTTGAACATGATAATCCCTACTCCATGGTAAAGAATGGATCTAAAGAATTCAGAAGTATCGAGTCAGCTGCTACCACGGCCTTTAGAATTTCGCCAAAAGTATAGCTACAAATTCCCGGGAAAATGCAAGTATTTTCTGACTCAGAATCTGAGCTGTGCCTACCCCGACGGGCAAGCTAGACAACAATACACTGCAAGCCTGTTCAGACTCCAAAAACCAAACCTACCAGACAAAACACTGAGGCCAAAAAACACGCATCTGTCCCTGCCAGACGCTGCCCTCCGACAGGCTAGAAGTTTTTGTCAATCAACCCCCTGATGAGCCCCCAGTCCTTATCATCAACAAAATCCAACACAATGATCCCGCTTCCCTTGGCAAAGCTGTCCTGCAAGTCATGGCTAGCCATGGCGTGGGCCACCTGTTTCGGCCAGCACGAGTAGTTAAAGAAATTGGAGCCCAGCGTGAAGTTCACATACAACTTGTTATCTGAGTTTGTGGCGTTATGCTCCGCGGCCTTGTGCGCCAAGCTCTTGACATACGTGACTTTTTTGGGAATGTCATCCTTGGTCTGGATTTCACAGAAGTCCTGCACCACAAACGAGCCCCTATCGTCCTCGATGCTGTTGTACTTCCACCAGGCCGCGTCAAACCCATACTGGCGCTTTCGCTCCTCGTTTTTTACACCAAAACGCCTAAACAACATGGCTTTCCCACGTGCATCGCCCAAACGAGGCAACTCCGTGCTCAAGAACCAGCGGTTTTTGTTCGGCTCGATGAATTTCTCCCAGATCACGTTGGCGAATTCGTCCTGCTCGTGATTCCAATCTCCCATGCCTTCTTGCTTGATGGAGACCATCACAGTCTCCGACTGGTGCTTGTCTAAAAACTCATACACTTCTTCTAGCGTGTCCGCAAATTTCTTAGGAATCGGGATCCGAACCGGGAATTTACCATGGACTACGATCAACTCGTGGGCCTCGTTTCCCGACTTCAAGGGGTGTTTTCCCACGCGCACATCGAGAAAACGCACGCCATGTTCCAACTGGTCCGTAACTGAAGCGCCCTGACATTGGACAGAAGGTAAAGCAATGTGACAGGCAGCCGAATTGTGGGTTCCAGGAATAGAGAGCGAACCAACCGGCGTGTTGTCACCAAGCTCTCCGAGCCATTTCGCGTAGTTGACCATGGCAGTTTACAAACGGAAAGCCAAATCAGTGTTTCCCTTATTTCGAGAATAATATAAGAAGCCTCCAGAAAAGTGGTGTAAACCCGTATATCCTGTGTTGAATTCGGGGGGAGCCGTGACGCGGCGTCATGGTGTTATATAGATGGGACAGACGCAGGAACACACGGACAGTTGTAGCTGTGTGCACACAACCATCAATGTGCAGGCACACATATATCCGCCCGGCCACTGGGCCAGAACAGCCTCGCGAAAACCGGGGTAGTTGGGAACTTCGCGTCGATGGTCTGTTGCTGGGGATGAAAATGAGGAAATATTAAAAAGTTGAGTTTCGTCTTTTTGCTTGCGTTTCCATTTACTTCTGTCATTGTTTCAGCACGAGTAGCTGGATAATAGAATGAATAATGATGCGGGGAAATGCAATACATTGGGGGATTAGCTGACACCAGGATTCCCATGATTGATTAAGCGCCTCCACCCTTTGGTTTTTTGCATGGAGATTATCGCCTTGACTGGTGAATATTTTGGAGTCACTTGAAAATGGCACACTTTGCAATCTTCTTGACTCAGGAGCATCCCCATCGTAGTAAAGAATGAATAGCTGTTTGTGTGGGTAGCTGCTTATTTCAGCAGTACCCCAACACTTTAATATCTTTCATTTTTTTATACCCAAATGAAAGCTCCCGAGGCAGGTGTATGATAATTGAACTTAAAAAGAACTCTTGAAGTGGAAAGTTTAAATTTAATCATGGACACAGAAACTCACTGCAAAGAAGCCAGTCCTATTAAATTAGTCGTAAGATAAAAGTCCTGATAATGGACGTGAGAAAAGTCTTGAGCCCATGATTATTGTTGCATAAGAAATTTACCAATCCCTCTTGCTTAAATTTAAATTTGTCGTATCAGAAAGAAAGGTCCTGTTAGATTACTTTGTTACTCCCTTGAAAGCAGTCTGACGGAATCCACAATTCCAACGAGAGTTTGGCGTGCTGAACACAATCGCAGTAAATTGTGAGCAGACAATGACAGCTGTGTTAGTATACGACAAAGACTCAACACGGATATGTTTCAGGTTGAGTTGTTTTTACCTACTTAGGCAAGATCGTCTCAATTTGCTCAAATGATGGCCTTTGAAACACCTAAAAACCTCGATTGCCGACAAAACCCTTCGGGGTAGAAGTGCACATGGGCGTGTGTCTCCCACTAATACATTGTCGTATACCAATGAGGCAAGTGTGTCTGACGGTTCGCGCATTGAGATGATAAGTCCATGTTTGGAATCTTTGGAGGGCAGCACTTTCAGATTCAATATAAATATGGGGTATTCTTTGAATGATTCGAAGTATTTTATAATCATCAAACAAATCAAACAATCAAAAATGGCCGCTCCTCAATCCTCCAACAAAAACACCTCTGCCCCCAACAAGGACAACTGGTTGACTGCTACCACTCCAACTGGCTGGTACTCTTCTTGCGTCATTGCTTGAAGTCAGAAGATAAACATTCTTTCTGATATATAAAAAAAAGTCCTCGGACATTTGGTTGATGTGTCTATTTAGAAACCTAACCTAATATACATCTTTAACCATTACGAATACACGTAGACTGAGTGCAGGTGCGAAAGTGGCTGGCTTGTACTGTCACCGCATCCGCTCATCAGTTATTAAAGCAGCCTCTGAATTGATATTTTTGTCTTTTAAAGCTTGCAAAGTGGTATCTCACTGTCATGACTTAGGAATTCACTGTACGCTTAGGCTACCTGAGGCATCCCTGCCAGGTATCGGCATACTGTATTGGCTTTCAAATCAAGCAATTCTGATATAAGATACTGTGTTCAATGCTTGAGAATTTCATAAATCGTACAGCATGTCTTTTTAAAAAACAATGCACAAATCCCGCTTCACCTTTCTGTGACACACAACAAAATGAGTGTTTAATGCGTTTCCATGAAGAAACTGTATAAAACAACGTCTGAGTATGACGGATTATGTGCGAACATTCTAAAAGACGAGCTTGGACTACGAGGTATCCGAATATTTGCTTACCTTCTACCTTCTAGACACAATCAGTAAAAAAGAAAAAAAAAGGAAAACGGAAAACAAAGAGATACTTATTTCGAAAAGTTGTTGATGCACGACCTGGGCGATTTCTGTCTAGCACAAGATGATTCTGAGGTAAGCTTGGGTTTATTTTGTAGCTACAGATAGTATCACCATCTACATATATGTTGATACCCTAGAAGTATAAAAAAAATTGAAATTCAGTCTGGTTCCCCGATTGAGCAGCAACACACTCAAAGTGTGCTTATATTAACGAACTCGGGAACCATTAATCATGATGTCACCAAGCATATGGGGTGATACAAAAGTCGAATACTAACTAAACCCTTGCCATATCTCATCGTACTCAACTTTTTCTCTTGTTTCGGGTACACAGATGTAAACGGCTCCGAAATAGAAGGCTCCCAATACAGTAAAAATCAAAAAGACCAGACCGCGGAGCTTTCCTTGCAATAAGGGGAAAAGAAGCGCAACGCATATATTTGCTAGCCAGTTGGACGCTGTACCCAAAGACTGCGCCATACCCACAGCTTCAACACTTGACAACTCATTCACCATCAAAAATGGGATCTGACCTAGACCAACAGAATAACCGATGACAAAACCAAAGCACCCTATGGCAGCAACAATGTTTCTATTTCCCATCAAGCCGGCGGAAATAACAATGGAGCAAAATGTCATAATCGCCATGGATAAAAGAAGAAACGGTCTCCGGCCCCATCTATCAATAAATGGACACACAGCAAGCGCAGCAACGACGTTTGTTATAGCCAAGGCGGAGGTAAGAAAAAGCACGTTTGTACCATCTGGTACTACGTGAGATAATACCGATACCCCGTAATACGTGATAGCATTCATACCGCAAAGCTGCTGTGCCGTCATGATGATAGCCACAGCAGTCCATTCTTTTCGAAATTTGGCTCCCGATATGTATTGAGATAATGTGACGTTTTTAGAAGCCATATCCTGAGGATAAAGTTCTTGGCTCTCCAAAAGAGGCAATGTGTCGGAAGTGGGTCTATTCGCTAGTGCGGAAGACAGGGACAACTTTCGGTAGTGATTGATCTCGCGATGTGTAGCCAGTTTACTTGTTCTTAATGTATGAAGAATTTCACAAGCTTCGGAAAGCTCACCCTTTTGCAAGATGAGCCATTTTGGAGACTCCACCGTGGTAAACAAGAGGACAAATTGCAAGAGACCCAAAACAGCACCGGTAAGAAAAATGTTTCGCCACTGCTGGTCATTGCTCCATGGGAAAGCAATTGCTTGTGCGATTAATATTCCAAGTCCCACACCAAATTGGAGCAACGACCCCATCAAGCCACGGTGATTTACGGGTGCCAACTCACTAATAAGAATAGGTGCCATGACCATGCAAGAGCCAGCAGCGAGACCGGTTAGAAAGCGGCCAATATTGAGAGCCATTTCAGTGCTAGAAATGGATACTATTGCCGAACCCACAAAAAACAACAAGGCAGAGGAAGCCTGCAAATGCTTGCGTCCGAAATTGCCATTTATTGCTCGACTCCCAACAATCGTGGACGAGACAAGCCCACCCACAGTGAACATTGTATTAATGACCGCCGTGGATCCCGAGTCCATGGGAATGCACTGGTCAATATTGAAAGATCCCCAGAATGAATCTGAGTATTGTTCAAATGGGCCAGGAATACTTTTTCGGCACGACAAAATATCTTGTGGCGCATTAAAAGCGGCAAGATGAAACCCGAATTGTAGTGTACTCATACTACTGATGAGGGTAGCCCATACGAGTCTCCAAGTAATTTTATGCTTTGTCTGGGGCCCACTCATGATGCTTCATGAAATCTTTAAGTATAGAAAACTTGAAGTTTTGGGAAAGTTCACTGCCGAGAAATTTTAATTAATGCTAAAATGGGAGATTGAGTAATAAATGGAATGAAGAGGGCTTCGGTATTTTCTCCGACCTCCAATTGAGCTATCGCTAAGAACTAAACAACGAAAAGCTATAGATTTGATGAGGCAGCGTTATCAGCTTTCAGCGTTATCAGTTATTACTGCAGATAGTAAAATGAATCAGTTCAGATCAACGTAAGTGATAATTGGTATTGAACAAAAAAAAAACACCGAGTAATATTCTGAATGATGGTGAAGTAGAATATAATATTATATTTATAGTTTGTTAAGACGAAGATAGGATGAAAGCGAAGAACATAATTGCTGCGGTTGCTAAAGCTCGGGGATTACCGAGCAGGGGTGGCGACCGGTGAACCGGTAGAAGTATGAACGCGAGGTCACGTGGTACGCTTATTCAAGATATTTGTCAATCAACCAGAGGCAGAAAGTTCTGGTGAAAAGCTGACATACGGTTGGAAGTGTGATTTTTGCAATCAAGAATTTTCATTCACTCGAGCTGAATTGACACTTCCAAGAGGATTATTACACTTCCCTTTTAATAGTAGAAGTCTACTTGAGAAAACTATACCTCGGATAGCATTTCGATTGGGTTAGCTGAAATAGTTCTTATATGCTCCGATTTTTTTACACAACGCCTATTTGAGAGATATAGTAAGGCAATCGGGAGAATTCGATAAAGCTGAGAGGATTTTTTTTTGTTCCGATTAACTGATAACAATACCTTTTTGGGCTTGATCATTTCTTAATCCTAGTAAGGAACTCGGCACGTTCTTAGCTTTTAATATGAGGAGTTTCTGAATGTGTTACCATCATCCTCATAAACAAAGACTTGGCAGTCGGAGACTTGATGAGGAGGTAGTTGCACCACGCCAGTCGGTAACAACACTTCGCAGATAATTAACCCAAGTCACAGAAATTTACAGGTGCCAAATATAATAAACTGACGGGATCGAAACTTTATTATCTTTTTTTTGTTAGATTCATCTGATTAAAGGAGCAAAACTAGCAAACATTATGCATGGAGTGCCTTTAAACAGCACCACATACGTACCAAGTGTTGAAATTCGACCCGCCTTTTTTCGGTAGTCACGACCTGGGCGGTTTTCTTGACTCGTATATGTTCATTTTGATATTACGTCATAAAGAAAAAAAATGCGCAAGCCCGGAATCGAACCGGGGGCCCAACGATGGCAACGTTGGATTTTACCACTAAACCACTTGCGCGATTCTGTATATGAAAATACTTTCCGTATTTTATGATTAACTAGAGCGTTTAGAGGTTATTAATTCTTACTTGTGGGAAAGGCCACGGGATAATAGAGCTGTCTAGGCGAGATAGGTCTCTTGACACGAGATAGGCCGTTGGATCGGAGGACGAGACTGTACTATCGTTCGCGATGGTACATCTGTCAATTTTAACAATACAGAGAAGATTAGCATTGTCCTTGCATAAAGATGACACGCTATACAAAGAGATTTACCATTTTACTCCTTGAGTCCGCTACAACCATCTGAGTTGAAGCGACTACTACAGGAGACCTATCCTAGGAGTCGATGACGTAATATCCAATACGTAAACAGATACGTGCCATGAGGACTGTCCAGGCCGTGACTAACGGAAGGGGACGGGCCGAGCTTAGACACTTGGTACATAGCTGGGAACTGTTTAAAAGTATTTTATATATATTAGTTATATAGTCTTTCCCCTTTAATCAGATGAATCTACCAAAAAGAAAGAAAAAAAAAAAAAGACAGAATAAAGAAAAAGAATCTCCCAGGAGTCGATGACGTAATATCTAATAAGTAAACAGATACGGGCCAGGCCGTGACTAACGAAAGGAGACGGGCCGAGCTTAGATACTTGGTACATAGCTGGGAACTGTTTAAAAGTATTTTATATATATTGTTTATATAGTTTTGCCCCTTTAATTAGATGAATCTACCAAACAAACCCTGAGCCAATGTTGCGATCTATTACAGGTTTCTTACTCTATAGTTTTTCGTTAAGGTGGGGTTTTGCATCCCTCCAGTGACATCCTATAATACGGTGTTTCTTTTAAAATAGAAAAAAAAGTTTGAACACATCTGGGAGTGTGTTAAGTTTTTCTATTGTATATAGTTTTCCTCCGGGCGGCGCTATACTTCATTATGTTTCTTTCAAAAAAAAAAAAAGATCAAGGGGACTCCACAGACTCTTTAAATTGCCATCTGTGGACTTTAAATCGCCCAAATGCAGGTAGCAAAAGCTCAACTTTGCAAAACTCATGAGTTTAAATGAAATGTTGGCGCCGGTGGACAACACTTTGGAGAGCTTAATAATTTTAAACTTGTTTGTCAACAATATGTTTAAGTATACACTTAAGAAGTGGTGCTTCGCAGGAAGTGTGCTTTTCAAATCCTCTCCAGCCATCTGAGTTGAGGTGGTTTCTGAAGGAGACTTAGGAATAGATGACGTAATATCCAATACGTAACAGACATGTGCCAAGAGGAACATCCAGGCCATGATCAACCGAGGGGGGCTGGCCGAGTTTCTACACTCGGTACATATTTAAGAGTCTTCCAAGGGTTTCTCTATATTCTTAATAGCTCATTTACTTCAATTAGATGATTCTAATAAAAAAGATAATCCTGATTTATAAAAAGATCAGCATTTTGCATTATCTTTGTTTTATTGCATTTGTAATTTAGCATAACTTAAAACACAACATGGACCAAAATTCGTCTGCTGAGTTCAATTCTTTGGTAATTGTTTCAAAAGACATTAAAGTTCATGCGTGAGTGGTATAATTTATCAGCTACGCAGTCTGGACACTCTCATTCATAAGATTATGCAGACACACAACGAGATAATGCACCACAACGAGTCATTCCAGACAAAAGACCCGCTAATATGCACATTTCAAGTATTCGTATGAAAAACAGAATCAAGAAACCAACAAATGACTGCCTCACACACAGGCCAGGAAAGATAGAGAAACAATTCTCAAAGTAGTAGTATCGCAAAATCCCCATGTTGATAGGCAATCGCTCTCTCTTTTATACTCGACTGTGCAGACTAGCTAATATACCTTCAATTAAAAGCTTGAAGCAACCTAAGCTACACTCAGAGCCAACAAGCTCATACTTAGATTCAAAACCCAAAACCGAAAAAAACAAAAAAAAAAAACAACTAGAATATGGGAATAAAGACATACATGGTTACTTAAGTAAAGCTCATGCGAACAAAGAGCCGCTCACGGAGAGGTCGGATATTAGACCCACTCCCACGTGATCTTTATACGCCCTAAGTCCGGGTCTGCTAATTGCTTGAAAGCTGCAGGCGAAAAGTCCAAATCATACTCCAGGCAACCTTCGCATCTGTCAACAGCAGTCACCTTTACAGACTTGCCCTCATAACTGGCGATAATTTCCCGTCCACACAAGGTGTTATCGTTGGGGTTTGTGCCTGGGGTGTACTGGTCAAAAAGAACATGGCTAAGAGCAACAATGTAGTCATCATTTGTGTTTGTCTCCCCACATGCACCGAGGCCAGTGTCATAATAAGTACCATCGCCACTATAAACGGTAGCTGTACTAGCACTGGAAGTCGTCGTCGAACTTGTGGGGCTAACTTTCAGCAGGGTTGAAGTGGTGGCTGTGGTGGTTGGTTGAGTTACAGGCTCAGGAGTGGCAGTGGTCAACTTAGCCAGCGATGAGATTTGGCTAACCTCAACCGAAGGGGTTTCTGCGGGCACATTTTGCGCAGAGCTAGATGTAGCCGCCTGTGGGAAAGCAGCCGTGTACTCATCATAGCCGGCAGTTACAGTAGTGTATCTGGTGGTTGTGACCCATTCAATTTCATAAACTGGTGAGGCGGCTGTCAATGCCAGGAGGAGGAGTGCAATGGTTGCAAATTTCATTGATGGTAATGTAAGGAGAGTGAAGGGTTGGGTATAAGAGAGTGGCTAGTCCGAGGACAGGGACAATGTGTAGGCAAATATGAAGCTTAGCTATCTAGCACAGGTGACGTTTGAAATTGTGTATCAGCCGGTCGGGAGATGCATCTCAAGTCGGCTTTATATTTAAAGTGCTGGCTATTCACGCTGCAGCCAGCACATGCGCGACACGCATGCACACGCGCGTTCCTGACGCGAGTCACTTGGTTGAGGGGACTTCTTGGGGCGGTCTTCACACATAGCATTGCTACTACTCATTTTCGGCTTTCTTTTTTTTATATCGGCTCGCTGAAGCAAAAATCTGAATATCTCCGGAAATAGGCATTGGTTATTGAGAAAATCTCGATCGAGAATGAACGGTTCAAGTGTTCCTGCTGGTTGCGCGCTGAAACAAGGGTTTTAGGCACGGGTGTTTATTTTGTATGGTGCCTGCGAGAGCCCCGCGAAGCACGAAAAAAGCTCTTGGTTAAACATCAAAAATCAGACGTGTTTAACATCAGAGTTGGTAGGGAGAAATACAAATTTGTGAAGACCTTTTGCTATGATAGATGAAAATTGAGGCTGCCAAACAGAATCCTCTTAAAAGTGTCTTTGCTGGTCGTTATAAAAACTGGCGCCAAGACCCGACCTGTGTGCAAGCTCCAACATCAAGAAATTAGCCAGCATTATGACGATAACCGCGACACAAACATCCTGCAATTTTATAGAGGGTTGGGGATACATGGTAAGGGGGATTTTTTGACGAAATGAGATTCGTGTTTTGTTAAATTGTGTTTTGTATTATAAAAGGGGTAGACATAATTTGCCTGAGTATAATGTACTATCCTTTCTAACTGCGACATGGACCAGACGGCCCAACATACGTTTTTTCATGTCGTGTTATTTTGATCCCAAATATGCTCATGAAACATTTTTCTTGTCAGTTGTAGGTCTCGGGCAGCCAGAACTAATTTTTGTCGTTAATAGTTTTAGCAGGCATTTTGGAAAAGATCACTTGAGTCCCAGAAAATTGGCACGAGGATCAGGCTCTTGAAGCCAATCAGTCCTCGCTCCTATTTATGGGCCCTTGAAAACGATGCTCAGATAATCGGTCGCACCCTTTCGTGAAACAATGAGCAAATATTGGAAGGGTTTGTGGATAGGGGAAAGTCCACTAACTCATTGAATTGAATAATACGAATAACTTGGTGACGACATGAGTATTATATATTTGTGGTTTTAAATGATACGTGAATATATACGAGGTATTAATTAGCAGTCCGGCTCACACGATACAAAAAGCTTTTGCCTTATAAAAGAAAAAAGACCACTTGAATTGTCCAGCTAAAGTGAAGTCGTAGCAATCATTATTCGATTTCTTATTTTCAGGCCGAGATAGGTTGCTAAATTGTCCATTATAATATCCAATGCCACAGCAAATCATCTCTTTCATAGCTTTTGCGTTTGTTCAGACATAAATGTCTTCCCAGGGGCAAATTACAAGAACGAGGCACTTCAAGGTTACAACCTTTAGCTCAACGTCAGGAATCCCTATACTCGTCTCTGCATATATGCCACTTTATGGTGAGATCAGATGTTGTACTGAGCACCCCTAGCATAATGCTTTTCATATTCAAAGGCCCCGACTTGCTTCATTCTCGGCATCAGATAGGTTAGACAGACATGATTCTTTATTGTATTATTTTTCCGAGCCAAGTGATAAACAGCATAAAAAACACGTTTGTATCTTCGAATCCACTTTCATTCGACCCAACACATTTATCCCAAACATATTTTTGCCATACAACATGCAAATTTTCGTGCTATTTGAGGCAGCAAACAGCTTTTCCTAACATTTGCAGATCTGTAGCAGCTGTATGCAATGAAATGTTACATAATTGTTAGCATATGAGAAGCTACATCCATTTGGACGGTTTATGTATTGCCGCTACATTGATCATGGGAATAAACAAACGTATCTATCCAACTTCTACCTGTAATAATGTTAAAGAACCTTTAGAGTAAAATCCCGGAAAAACAAGGACTCTTCTTAAACGCTATGATTATTCAGCAGTAAGCTTGATAACATAAAAATGTTATAGTATTTGCCAATCAAGGGCGTATGCCCCGGACAGGATGGTATCTGGAATTTAAATTAAGCGATACAATTGTTTTAAACTGATTTTGGGAAAAAGTCTGCTCATTCGCTACTATCTATCCAATACCATATACCTACATATAGTCGTGACCTCCAGATAAGGACACTTTCGTCTATGCTGTTCTGCACAAAGGCGAATATTGACTACATCACTGAAGTCAAAAACATGACCTGAGATCCTTCAGCGGCAGCATTATAGTATTCTCCTCCCAGATACACGCATCGGTTTTGTGTTCATGGCCCACAGCAACAGCTTTGTAGCCACTAGCCTTGATGTCTTCTAGAAATTTTTTGCCGGTTTCGGTTACCAATTCATGTTTCTCATTGTATGAAACGATCAACTTCACGGTTCCTTTAGGACGAGAGTTCGGGAGTGGGTAGTGAAGAAAGAGAAGCTTATTCTCAGTATCAGAACTTTGTTTATGGTTGACACGGTACACGTAATTGGCCTGCGAGTCTTTTACCATTTTACCTTCCGAGTCTAGGTAGGTAACAAGAGCGTTTGCGGGTTTCAACGAAAGGTTTTGCAAATTGATTTGCCCATCCTCTGACGTCGATTGTACATTGCAGATTTTCAAATTCCCGTTGGACAATCCGTGTAGCCTGTGGTCTAGGTCATCGTATTGTTTGTTATAGCACCCACGAAGACTGGCGGTGAAATTCAAGATTTCGATCTTGTTGAAGTGACCCGTGCACCTATAATCCGAATCTTCGAATGTGAAAATAAAAGGAATCCCTGACTTAAACACGGGAGACAAGGCTTTCAAAACCACAGATCCATAATGCGTGGTTTGTGGGACATCGATCATGTCGCCTGTAATGACGATGAGTTGGACGTCGCCTTCTTGTTGTATCGCAGATTTGACGAATTCGAGAGTATCGATATCAAATTTGTAATCATCGTAGCATGCGCCAGTATCTTGCCCAATGTGCATATCACTCAATTGTATTATTTTGAACTTGGGTGTCGTTGTGACGAGCATCTCATTCTTCTTCAAGATGGAATCAAAATCTTGCTCACTTTTCAAAATGACAATCTCATCAACCCAGAAACCTTTAACATCGATATTTTTGCGTGGATCAGAAACTTCCCAGGAATAGCAATCCTGCTTGGTTCGAACTCCCAGTGTTTCCGGGAATCCTTCATATCCTCTTTCCCGTAAAAGACGTTGACTTCGTGAACAACAGGGATCTTGAAGTCGAGTACTTCTATGTATTGAATCCAAATATAACCAGAGGGAAATATTTTGAACTTTAAAACTTGGAGTTTTTGGTATTCGACTCAGGTTGCTGGTCTGCCAGTGTGAACCTGATGTCAATGACGAACCTGATGACCAAAGGAATGCAGAAATGCCAAGACTGCTTTTTCGAAAAGACCACGAGGGTGCGGTATAGTACCAACCTTATGGGTTGAACCAACTCATTCTCAATCAGGAGATCATCGCTTACAAAAGCTTACGTAATTGAAAGTATGAGGATGCAATTTACTTTTGTGATGTCTTCAAATATTCTATGCCTTGAAACAGGTATACAAAAGAATTGAAACCTCTTTGGAATTTCTCTGTCAGTTGAAGGAGCATACCAAAGCTAGACTCGATGGTCTAGCGGCTCAACCCACCTTAATCAAGAAATGTGAAGAACTATACAAGACCAACGATTTTCCGAAATTTAAGTGAGAATTCCCAGTCATCAACATTGCAGCAACTGAAGCATGCAAATAGGACTCGAAATATATGTAGCAAACATATAGTCTCACCATTCGTTTCATGGCCTTCGATATTTTTGAGCGGCTTGGGAAAAACGAACCCAAAGAGTCTTGATGTGCACAACGGCTGAACTTTCCGAAATGTCACTTTCAAGCCTTTTGCATAGCTACTGATGGTACCCTGTATTTGTCGTAAGACAACTGTCACGTGCTGGGACTCACTTGGTCAGAGACAGCAAAAAAAGCGTGCCCTTGATTCTGGTGACTCGTGCCAAGGTACGAAGCAGGCAGGTTGTGAGCTGCACCCCAGCCTCAGATGAGTAAGCCCTGTTTTTTGCACCATTTGGCTTAAAACTGTTGTTTTACGCCGACAGGACTGCATATTACCACAGACCGCATGCTCGATAATTGGAACGACGAAATAAGACACAGCCCCACTCGCTTTGCCATTCCAAGTGTGCACAGAACAGTTGCAAGGAATCTAACACTGGCGCGTGTTTGACGTGCGTGTCTGACAAATACATCATAATTTCGGCCTCGACTTACTTAGAGGCCGAGTTAATGGAAATATGCTTCTGGTTGAATGCCTCGGCCTCCTCACCCAGCACTATTGAGGTATATCCACTCATTTCTCTCAGGGCAATGGATGCAGGGCCTGAAAGTCGGGCAGGATCAGTGTTTTCAGTCTATTTTGCAAGGCAACAACAAGGCTGGATAGCGAGATGCGCAAAAAAGGTGGCATAATTCGAGTCCCTATGCGAGTCCCCTCCCTACCACAAACATAAGAGATCCGATTTTGGGACATGTCATGTGGTCCTGATGGGGTGTCTTCATCGGAATTTGATTCCGTAAAGAAAAAAACCATCTACACGACCGAGGCCGTGCATGTCGCGATATTGGAAGGAACGTTTCGCCTATGCCGCAGCAATGTAATGATAGCAAAGACGACTGGAAGGCCGCAGCTCGTGGCACTCAATACAGTCCACGCATACTGCCCTGCACGCAGTGCGTATCTGCAAAACTTCCGTATACGGTCGATGCGCGAAGCTATTTTTTGGTCCCTAGATTTTGACATGAGACATTCCAGGGATTAGCAAAAGTGATAAATAAAAGAAGAGCTAAGGGCCAGGAAAGGGATCAGCATGAAGGTGTGCTATGTCTTCGCAAAAACCGAAACCTACCGAACAGACAAAAAACAAAAACAAAAAACAAACAAACATAAAACCCTGGCCGATTCGGGGGGACTTTCAGATGAAGGGTGCGGATCCGGGCGCCCTGTTTCGGCGCATGGTTGTGAGTATAACCTACCCGGTTTCCCTGTCTGCTCACATAGTACCTACAGTATATTCCCAGCAAAGACGGATCACCTGAAAATACGAGTACCTCGGCTGAAGGGGCAGTGCCTTTCTCATTCGCCATAACCATTTTTTTTCCAATTTTTTTTTTTTTTTGCTTCTCATTGTTCCTTTTTACAATGCCCTATGAACCAGTGCTGTCCACGACAAGGAAGTCGCTCCCATTTCACGCTCGACACAGAATTTGATGATATTTTCAGGGCATTTCTAGTTTCGTCCTCCCGCCTGTTTTTACTTCCGCCACCTGATTCCAGGATTGCTGTCTCCATACCATCCAAGGCTGTTCCTTCCTCCCTCCACATTTTCCGTTTTTTTTTCCCTATTTTGCCTTCTCATTCCGGATGCTTGCTTCGCGGTCAGAATCCGGTCACATGTCTGCCTCAGCCCTGCCCCAGATAAAAGAACGAGCAAGCGCCGGCGTATTTTTAATGAACCCATTTTTGACACTTTACCCGCTGGCTTTTTTTTTCTTCTTCTTTTGTGCAAGGACTTACTCTCCCACAGCCCACATATCCCCATTTTGCCATCCCGCCCGGCCTTCCCCTCGTGTCCTGCTTTTAGCGCCGGCCTGCCCAGAAAAAGTCGCCTCCGTCATTCGTCATCCAGGTGTCCGATCGGCCGCACATTTTTCTCATAAAACCCGGCCCGCCATCTGGCCCCAGATTCTCAGCGCAAATTCCCCGTCTCAGGTTTTACGGCCACTCTCGCAACCCCCAATTTCGGCCGCTTCCAAATTTACAGCCACCCGCAAATTCCCAGCCACGTCCAAATTTACAGCCATCTGCAAATTCCCGGCCACTTGCAAACCCCCTTGTTAGCCGCCGACCACAAAGCCCCTGAAACACACTCATGGTTTCGTTATCTTTTCTTGGTCGCAAAAAAAACGCCCCGAAACTGGCGCCGGCGGTGCCGCCGAAGCCAGCGCCCGCCCCATCCAAAGCGCCGGCAGAATGCTCAATGCAAGCTCAAACCACCCCCGACCCTGCCACAAACACCCCTTTCATGACCACAAACACGCAGGGCCCCGCCATAAGTTTTGCCGGCCTGTCCGGCCATAATCTCCCGGAGATTCCCGGCGTGGCCGTGCCGTCGCAAGAATCATTCTATTCGAGCCTCGGCAGCAACGACGCCGCTCTGGAGCAGGCTCTTCAGGAAGCAAGGCTCCGCCCCCCTGCGCCCCCGGCGTTGAACACGGACCTCCCGGTATTCTCCGAGCCCACGTCGCCGTCCAGCCGGCGCCTGGCATCCTCGCTCCCCAGACATCCGCGGGCGTCGTTCATCCGCCATTCTCGGGTGCTCTCTGGCACCAGCACCATCGCGGGCGGGCTCAACTCGATGGTATTGCCGCTGCAGACGCTCCGCCATCGGCAGAAAACCATCATCACGGACTTACCCGCGGAGTTGCTGCCTGTGGTGAACTTGGCAAACGCACAACGGCTCCGGCACTACGCGAGCGGCCCGATCAGCCTTTTAACCGAGGACGGGCTGGCGTGGCTCGCGGCAGATGCCACGTTGACAGGAACGGAGCTTCTGCTCTGGTTCGCCGGCCACCTGAAACCGCGCTACTTGAACATCCAGGACTGCAGCATCGTGCCCTCGCGGGGCCCCGTCCCGGGTGGCGATCTGTTGTACGACTTGCTCGTGTTGCAAGATTATGACTTCAACGTCGTCTCGCTCCGTTTCGCCGATGCGCTGGACATGCACACGTGGCTCGCGGCAATGCAGTTGGCCAAGTTCGAGCACACCTCGCTCAATGAGGCCTTTACTGCCGTGGTCTTGTCCTGGAAAGGCCCGCAATTGTCTGACATCTACACGCTCTTGGCCCACAAGAAGCGCTTCACTCGCTTCGAGTGGTGCAATCTCCGCTTGCCCCAGGTGTCCAACAAGTGGATCAAGGTATTTATGGCAATTGTTCCCGGTGATGCCAAAAAGAATGGTCGTGTCGAGATTTACGCCTCAGACAAGATTACCAAGAAGAATTTGATCTTGTATGTGAATGATGTCTTTTCCGTGTACAACGTGTACCCAGAGGACCACCGCATGATTGACTTCAACCTGATTATGAAATTGGATGGAGAGGCATTTGTTAATAGGCTGTACGAGCACTTGTTCTCTGGGAATGCATCGCCCACATCGCCAAAACCTCATTCCCGGCGAAGCTCCGTCACCTCTTTTGGCTCGTTGAACCCTCCAACGCCAGTTCAGGTTTCAGGTACGAGGTCCAGGAGCACTTCCATTAGCTCCACGTCGTCTTTCTTTACCCATGCTCCGTCGCCTAAATTGGATGCGCCGGTGTCCAACCCAGGCTCCCCAACAACGAAATCGAAGCACTTCTTCAAGAAGCAAACTGCGAACAATTTCGTCACCACGAATTACTTGTACTTGATGCCAGAGGCGCACCCCGGAGTGTCGGCAATCGAGATCATGCTCAGAAATTTTGTCCACATCATTGATGCCTTTAAGTTGTACGGACGCCCAGATCATCTCAATAGCGACAAGAAAGACCCCATCTCCATGCTCTTCGGCTTGCCATCATTGCCTCATTACTGCTACTTAGACCTTGAAGATGCCTATGGCGTGGTGGCTGCAAACTTCGATACTGCCCGCTTGCAGAATTGGGGCCAAGGCGAATGGAGAACGACTTTGAAGGAGTATTTGAGGTGTAAGCAGATTGACACAGACTTCAAGGGCACAGACAACATCTATGATTTGTTCAACTCAGTGAATGACGAGGGTGACAGCGGAAGTATTGCTGATGGCGCCATTTCGCCATTACAGTCGAAAATGCAGAGTCCTCAGAAAAACCCTTTTAATATGAATCTCAGTGGATCAGGCAGCTCTGACGATTTTCAGAAGATGTACAAGGATGGCGACTCAAGTCAATATAGCGCTGAACCGGTGAATGGAGTCGGGCTTGGCAAGCCGATTGATCTCAATGAAGACTTGAGAGGCTATTACGAGGCTTCAAACGGCGTGAGTGATCGGCAGGATTTCGGTGCCAAGTCCCGGACCTTACATCCTATTATGGACTTACCAACGCCGATCGACGACGCTCACGGGGCAAGTTATTTTGCTAAAGAGAGACAGGTTCTGTCGTAGTGTGAGTGTTAAGATTGTACATGGTTTTTGAATAAAAAAAAAAGCATATGGAACTGGTTGGGACGGTCATTGACAGCAAGTCAGTACGCAGACTGACGGGAGCCGCAAGCCGTGATCCGACTGAAAACCCGTACACCAGCGTGATGTCCCGTTTGCCGGGCACGACGCCTGGGACTGGTCTTTTGTTAGTCTTTCGGCCGAAGATGAGCTTACCTTATTTCAACAGAGACACTGCTGAAATCCCGCTCGCATTTAGCTTTTGCCTCATTGTGCCTATGAATTTGCTAAGCGAGACTCGGAGTTAGCAACCGCTTGGATGTCCGTGCTCGCTCTTTTCCTTCATCATAACCGATGGTGACAAATACGATGCGTAATTGCCTGATTGAGATTGCGCGCCACCGGGTAGATGATCTCTTGTTTATCTGAAAGATCAGGCCGGTCGTAGTCGCTTAGGGGCCGGAACACGCGTTTGGGAGACGTGGCGCGACAAGGCGGACGCGTGCTTCGCACTAACATCACTATATCGGGAAGAAACAACAACACGAGCCGTGCATGCAGGCGGCCAGCCACCCATTCCCTTTCGACGATCCGAAGCACTCCTTAGCCGGATTTTTATTCATGGGCCTGAAATTCAAAAGGTGATCTCGTTATTTAAAATTCTGGAAAAGCAGAGCGGAACATTCCACGTGGACCGCACAAGTGCTGAGCTCCCAGTCCCGGACTCACCACAGGTTTGTTTCAAGCGTGTTTCAAACTCGAAACGTTGCCGCGGCCAAGCAACCTTCAAGCGTTGCTCCGCGACGCGCCTGGCCGGCACACGCGAGGCGTCGCGCGTCGCGCGTCACGTGGCACGGCCGCACACGCGCATCGGCCGCCATACAAATTTTCTGCATTTTCTCCTTCGCTCTCTTCTGCCCAAAACCATAACAACTGGATCGCCGTTCTCGGATTCCTCGTACAGTACGTGTTTTCTATATAAACCCAAACGGCCCCGCGTCCCTTGCTTTCCTATTTTTTTCACACATCCGTTTTTTTGCTAAACACATCGCATCTTTGCAACACCCGTTTCCTGTTAGCCGCCGACTGCTTCTTACCAGACTAGCCGCCCGCACTTATACCTCCGACGCATTTGCCGCCCGCGCATCCAAAAAAGCACACCACTAATACAAACCAGAATCATGTCTGTCCAGCAAACACCCACCCACGGCTTGACCGGAAAGATTTCAAACCTCGAGATGTCTGCCCTCAAGGGCTCCTCGTTGACCGACAAGTTAGCCGCCGAGGCTGCTGCCAAGGATTCTGCCTTGGGCGCCGACTCGCTTGTAGGCAAGCCCAAGGACATTGTGCGTCCCGCCAACATCAAAGAAGGCGATGCTTTGGAGACCGCCAAGGTCGTCCAGGAGATCAAGGACGCTGCGCTTGCCCACCAGGAGTTTTTGACTGCACACAAAACCGAGCGCCGCAAGTTGAAGGAGCAGGAGAAGGACGAGCCCTTGTTGGTGGAAAACAAGCGCCGCTTTGTATTGTTCCCCATTAAGTACCACGAGGTCTGGCAGATGTACAAGAAGGCCGAGGCATCGTTCTGGACCGCCGAGGAGATTGACTTGTCCAAGGACATCAACGACTGGAACAACAGAATGACCGACAACGAGAGGTTCTTCATCTCGCGAGTGTTGGCGTTCTTTGCCGCGTCCGACGGAATCGTCAACGAGAATTTGGTGGAGAACTTCTCTGCCGAGGTGCAGATCCCCGAGGCCAAGTGCTTCTACGGGTTCCAGATCATGATGGAGAACATCCACTCGGAGACCTACTCGTTGTTGATTGACACGTACATCAAGGACCCCAAGGAGGCCGACTTCTTGTTCAATGCAATCGACAACATCCCATGCATCAAGAAGAAGGCCGACTGGGCCTTGAGATGGATCAGCGACAAGGAGGCCTTGTTTGGCGAGAGATTGGTGGCCTTCGCTGCCGTCGAAGGTGTGTTTTTCTCTGGCTCGTTTGCCTCGATCTTCTGGTTGAAGAAGAGGGGCTTGATGCCTGGCCTCACCTTCTCGAACGAGTTGATTTGCCGTGACGAGGGCTTGCACACTGACTTTGCTTGCTTGTTGTTCTCGCACTTGAAGAACAGACCCGCTCCGGAGATCGTCGAGAGAATCGTCACTGAGGCTGTTTCCATCGAGAAGGAGTACTTCACGGACTCCTTGCCCTCCAGCTTGTTGGGTATGAACAGCAACTTGATGTGCCAGTATGTGGAGTTTGTCGCCGACAGATTGCTCGTGGCTTTGGGCAACAAGAAGGTGTACAATGTCACCAACCCATTCGACTTCATGGAGAACATCTCTTTGGCTGGTAAAACCAACTTCTTCGAGAAGAGAGTCTCCGACTACCAGAAGGCCGGTGTCATGGCCAAGACCAACGACGCCACGTCGTCGAGCCACTCGTTCTCCTTTGACGAGGACTTCTGATTCTACGTCACGCAGCATTTAGGTGCTTTGGTTCCGTTCAACTTCCTGGGTACATTCTCATCATCATGTCTTACTAATATGCTGGGTCCCTGCACATCTGGTATGGGCTCTGGCCTTTCATTTCTCTATAGGTAACAAATCATAAAAAAATAGAAACATTACAGATATCGATCCTGTAGACTGGCTGCTGAAGTGGAGTTGTAGCGAGATATCAGAGGACCGTGGACTGGGGCTGAGATGGAACATCGAGGCACCATAGCTAATTGATCACCAGAGGCCAGATGATGGCATTGAAGCTTTTCTTGCTACGACACAATTGAACATCCCAGCATAAGAACCGAATTGTTTCCTTGTTCTTCAATGAAAAGCTTAAGTGTTATTCACTTAGCATGTTCACCGTTTGGAGAAGATCGAACAAAGGGGCCAGACGCTCGAGGAACTAAAAAGACCACTTATTGAAACCTTCTGCAAAAATAAGAAGACGTATATCATGAGTAGTGTTTCACAAATTGACCATAATCTATTATTTTCATTCAAACTTAACCCGGGGAATTCTGCATAATCTCTTCTTCGACAAATTCTCGTCTTTTTGCCACAATGAGGCAATGAATACACTGGCCAGCTATATTGATAGCTTTACCCACCCGGAAGATTACATACTTGATTCTGAAGGCTCTGACTGCAAATGTATGCGAGCGTGAATGTGCTTCAAGGCTCGAACCACCCTAAATCTGAGAAGCTCGGTAGTATGGTCTCTTTTAGCAAAGAAATACTCCAAATTTTTTCATGATGCTTGCCAGTAAATTAATCACATCATAAGGAGATGCAACCTCCCATTGGTTTAATAATCTAAAGGGTGGAACTATCCGTGCTTGGAACTGGTCTAGGTAGCTGTACTAAAGCTAAAGACACTTGATGTTCTGAAGTATTGAATCCGTCAAGATCGTATATATACTCAGAGCCTGTTGACACAATGTTATGCGTTTACTATTTACCGGAGAGAAGACATTATCATAACTTGTCAGCACGACTATCAATTAGAAAGATCGTCGTCGTGATTGGCATGCTCCGGCGTTCAGATGCTATAAACGCTAGTCCCAATTATACGTCATGTTACCGTTTATGAAACGAGGGAATTTGGAGGCTCGAGGTGTGAAGGTCGAATAGACACGGAAAACAAGACTGGTGCTTATATGAGACATGTTCTTACTCTTGTGAATAAAAAAAAATCGTGTATCGATTTAGGGCGTAGCTCAAGATCATAGGGCTTGATCTCAAGTTCATAGGGATGTCTCCCTCAAAATGAGATGTTCAAATATTAGAAAGCTATTATTCTCAAACGGTCTAATTCTAGAAACTATGGTACTCCTTTGAAAGAGCATCTTATATGAAACTCTCAAATCTACGGATTGTTGAAGTGACGAGGTTTGTCTCACTAGCCAAAGTATTCAAAATATATCTGTCTGATCAGTTGTGAAAAATCATATATATTCTATGTGATAAACTTCTTTTTTGTGGATGTGGGCTGTTTGAGCTAAGACTATAACCCCTCATATCCACCAAGCTCTTGACTACGAGATTCAGCAGAAAGTAAAATCGAGATCATGGAAGCAGCCACGATCCGTACTCAATTAAAAAGTCGAATGTGATTAGGATGTGCAAAAGGGATATCTACCCTGCCAAAATAGATATCAAACCTGTAGTTTCACAATACTCTTTGTTCGATAGGACGGTTTGTTGAATAGGTCGGCAAATTAATATTTATCTGTAAAAACTTCATTATATATAAACTTAATTGTACACTTGAACAAACGGAATAATGCGGTTCGGGTGAAACGAAACATCTCCCTTTCACATTATCTTTCTTTTTTTTTTTTTGTCAGTGGAGCAGATTGACAGAGAGCATGCGAGGAAACAAATCGAGGAAATGAACCACGCCAAATAAGATGTGTGCTTCAAATATTCATTCATATATAATGGGGCAGCTCAAAGGCATTTTTGGATTTTGCTTTGTCGATATTGCGCTTTGCAGAACAGAATGCCAGAAAGCTCTATTCCGATGGCGAGTCTGCTCATCCAGACAACCACTCGAGACAACCACTAGAAGTATTTTACTCACGATGCTATCATAACGCATAACAATCAAGACCAACAATTACATTTGTTTTTCTCTCAAAAGTTGCTGTTTTACACCCAATATGAAAGCCATTCGCCCCAGTGATCATCATTCTGCCATGTTGACTGAGAAGAGGGCTAGGAAAAATGTTATCTAATGCCAAATATGATGTCCAGGTAATTTCACTTGATGGTGTCAGAAACAAAAGATCAGAGAACTGTGTTGGCCATACACCAGGAATTTTCCGCATCCACGTATGTCATTCTCGAGCAGACAAAAAACACGACACAGCTTAGATTTGGTCCGTGAATTCTAAAAACACCCTGGAACCTCAACTGCTGGCTGAGAACATATGCCAAATTAGATGCGCGCCGTTAAGAGATTAACACAGATATGGAATCCTGAAGAAACCGCCTATACCAATGCACGGGAGAACAAGTCGAATGGCCGCAGAATATTCGAAGAGTATTTCCCAGGTCGAATTTTCAACCTTCTGGAAAGCCCATCCAAATTCCAGGGAAATCTCAAAGAGTGCCCGTGATCCTGGCGTGCACGTGACGCGTCAAGAGATCAAAGCCTGGTTTTCGCCTCCTGGTTTCGAGCCACCACCAACTCTTCTTTAGCCCGAAAAGATGAAAAAATAACAAAAACAAACATTCGAAACACCAACTTCTTACCGAACTGCAAATTGGTTCTGACTTCCAGGCGGCCGGGCCTCTGGAATTGTTCTATTTGATACTCGTATATCCATGTCCGGCAGCACGCCGGAACCGGGCGGCAACTTGGTCAATCATCAAAAAAAAAAATACCCCCCAGATGAAACTGAAAACACAAATATAGAATGAGGATACCCCCTGCATTTCGCGGCTGCACCCACCCCGCCAGGCGCCACCATATTCCCAAAATCTTTTTTCCACTACTCTTTTTTCCCGCGCATCGCGAGTGCTGTCATTCCTCGATTTGCAACTACTTGGCGAGTATGGGCAAGGGAAAAAACAAGCCGAGCGAGGAGCGCGCGCAAAAGGGCCGCACGTCCAACGGGCATAAGCTGAAGCAGCACCACGTGCGCCGCGGACGGCAGGAGGAGGGTGTCGTGGTGCGGACCGACACGGACAAGTTCCCCGTCAAGCTCGCCATGTGGGACTTTGACCACTGCGACCCGAAGCGGTGCCTGGGCAAAAAGCTCGAGCGGCTCGGGTACATTCGCAACTTGCGCGTGGGGATGAAGTTCCAGGGCATTGTGGTGTCGCCCAACGGCACCGGCGTGGTGTGTCCGGACGACCGCGAGATCGTAGAACAGCAGGGCGCCGCGGTGGTGGAGTGTTCGTGGGCGCGGCTCGACGAGGTGCCTTTCAACAAGATTGGCGGCAAGCACGAGCGGCTCTTGCCATACTTGGTGGCGGCCAACACAGTCAACTACGGGCGGCCCTGGAAGCTCAACTGCGTGGAGGCGCTCGCCGCGTGCTTCGCCATTGTGGGGCGCGAGGGCTTGGCAGCCGAGCTCCTCCAGAACTTTTCCTGGGGACCCACGTTCTTGGACATCAACCGCGAGCTCTTGCGCGTGTACCAGCAGTGCACGGACCTGGCGCTGGTGGAGCGCGCGCAGGACGAGTGGATGGCCAAGTTGGAGGACGAGGTCCGGCAGCGCAAACAGCAGTCTGCCGAGGGCGACGTTTGGATGATGGGCAACGTCAACCGCCAGCCCATGGACGGCAGTGACGAGGGAAGCGCCGACGAGAGTGCCGATGAGGACGAAGATGGGGACGACGGACCGGGCCCCGATGTCCGCTACGACAACCTAGGCAACATCATCGCGGACTCGGCGAGCGAAGAGTCAGAAGATGCTTCGGAGGACGAGCCCGAGGATGAATATACTGCGGAGCTGGACGGCGACGATGTGGTATACGATAAGTTGGGGAACATTGTGTCGAAGCGCGATGGTCTCACAGACCAGGTCGCTGGGCTTTCGATCTAGGTGGCTGGCTGAGGCCCCGTACATCGTCACCATGGATGAAACCCGCTGGGGGTCTCCCGTAGTTGGATGGTGTGTTTGGGTGTGGTGGCCAGAGATTGCACCACAAACTTTCTAGAGCTTTTGAGCAACTAGAAAAATACTCAGTCTTCGAACACAACCAGGCTACAATGGAAAATATTTCAAAGTTGGTCTGTGACGGAGCCATCTAAACCTTGTGACAAACAGCATGCTATAAGAAAATATGTTATCGGGATTCATATTCCGAGTGAGCCGCCGTGTGGTTATGTGGCATTGGACATTTTATTTATAGAACAGAGACCAACCAATGTGTCAACCAATACTGAAAGAAAACCATGTATTCAAATACACAAATGTCGCAATAGTAGTCAATTGCAATTTTGAACGTGATTGAGGTTTTCTTTCACACATCTGTTTCTGGGTTTTGGATTTAAGGTTTTGAATCCAGTTTATTTTCCATTTTTCTCATCCTGTCATGGTCAGCTCTAGATTTAGCGAAATCACAACAAAATCAGAATATCAATTTAATTTCACGCTTTCACAATGGCTATACCCTATGTAGTCGTTTGAGAAGGCTATCAGAATTCATTCATGGTCAGCATCATTTCCAGCTTTCAAGCACCAAGGGATTTTAACAAAATTATGATCTCTATTAATCAAGCGCCATTTCTATGGCACGTCTTTTGATCTAAGATGTTGATCATGATTTGCATCATGTTCACAACAGTTGGAAAAAGTCAGGTTGGGCCATATTCCTCACAGAATATCATCTTTAATCTCATTTAAGAAGTAAAACTTGTAGTACTTCTATGCTTTATCTAATCGTTTCCCAACACATCACACTGAGATGACACAGACGAGTTACCAGTTACAACCAATTTGTTAAAGATGGTTTTCTGATCCCAGGAACAAAGTGTCAAAATATTCTCTGTTCTGGATCAGGAAAGATCTATCAAAAAACACGATCGATTTAAGAAAGTGACAAGCATCTTCTAGACTATTTTTTGGTCCGAGTGGCCTTTGCTGGTACTAGCTGCCCTCTCAGATCAGACATTCTCGAATATTGCAAGTTCGCCACGCTTTAGAACTTGTCATTTCAGGGCTTCGATTTGAAATTAGGATTTTGACTATATCGAACCTTTAAGAATTTTGATAAAAGGAACAGGGGAAAATATCAGGGGAAATGTTTTATTGTTCCCTGAGACCTCATGAGAAAAACCTAGGCTTCATGGAGCAAATTCATTAATGGCTCTTACGCTTTTGGGTCAACTTCTTCGATAAATATTGAAGCGCTCCACTTTGTAGTAATCTATGTCATAATAAAATCAGCAGGAAACTAAATTCAATAAGATTTTTCTTTTCTTTTGAACGTAGACTGAATTCTTATCGATACTTACTTTGCACGTTTCACCTTAATATGTGCTCCTTCTCTCAAACAATGAGGCTGTTCCTTTGGAACTCAATTTTGTTTCCAGAAATTACTTAGGATGAATAAAATAGTTTGTTTGAAGACTAATTGGGTTCTGCTACGTGCCACGACGTATCGAGTCAGCAAGAGGAAGACGTCTGTGTTTTGAAAATTGATGTCGAAAACTTGTTTTGTGTTGGGTCTTTAGTGGGTTTGTATCTTCAGGAAAAGAAGTGTTGCACCAAGAAGCTACGCCAACCAAAAAGATCCAATAGAGCGCTAACTTCTTGTCGCCAAGGTGTGAAAACGTCTATGGCATATTTTATTGATATGATAGAATGTACCGTTGTAAATTCTAAGGCATAGTCAATCCCAGACGTTTTGCGGTATGAAAACTGAACCTTTATCAAATTATTATTGCTTGGAGGTGTCAACTTGTTTATGAAATGTCTCGTTTAAGCCTTGGCAGATTCTTTAGCAAAATTCGCTTAGAGCTATAAATTTGACTGACAGGATTGCTGAGATTGTCTTCTAATCTTTTGAGATATTACTTCAATGCTCTCAAAATTTTGGGAATCAAGGAGTTTTTCTGACTTATGTTCCGAGACAATTATTGTGTATCTAATCATTTTAACTTTAAACCTGATAAAACCCCATGAAATTAAACTGCATTGATTTGGCCTCTTCCCTGTTTTGTGAATTTCAGCTTTACCAGTGAATCAAAGGTTAGAGGCTTGTCATCTATTCTTGATTTGATTTCCGGCTATGTGAGCTTCGTCACCATTTTGAAAAGGCTTGTCCATTTGCCAAATAGCGAGTCTTGAAATTCAACTGATCGAAACTCCAGGATACACCATAAAATGCTTATAACTATTTATCTGAACTTCACACTTGCAAGCAACATATATTGATTAGATTCATCTTGTCCCACTGTGTTGATTTTCATCTTAAATCCAAGCTTTTAGTGACAGGACTCATTGAGCCCAGAGAATGGTAATATTGATGGAATAGCAAGCATGTATCCACGTTTTATTAACCATTCTACAACTATTATTCGAATAATTTAGATCGGCTGGTACTGTAAAATCATGTTGTGGGTTTGGAGATTTAAATTGACCGATGCACTGATAATTTCCGTATTTTTTTCGTTTGATTTAAAATTTTTGGTGATTTTTTTTAAGGACTCAACAAGTCCTGAAGGGATTCTAAAGCCCTAGATCAGGGTTTTTTCAGCAATCTTTGAAAAACACTCAGCAAAAATCCCTTTTCATCTCTTGCATCTCGAAAGGTTAATGGCTTCTTCCACTTTTCTCTCATTGTTTCCAAAATGAAATTGGAGGGTTTTCTCATACATTTAATTTACTCGGTATGTGGCGACCCGTTGCTTCCTCTTAATTTTTGGCCCCATTTTTTTCGGCCCTACGCGTTTTCTTGGGGCCGTGGGGCCGAATTTTGCAGCCATTTGTGGCCCCGCGCAACGGGTCAAAACGCGAACTGAAGACCCAAATCCTGGGGCCATCGGCTAACATGGCACATTGATTTGCAGCCGAACGTGTAATTAAGGATCGCCATTCTCTAGGAAAAGAAATAAAAAAAAAAGATTTGCTTTGGGCTTCGGTTATAGCGGTGCCTGAAACCTTGTCATCTCAGGGCGAACTCTTCTTGCCAGGTTTTTTAAATAGGTGTTGGTGCGGTTGGCCGGGATTCACGAAATGGCATTTATTCATGTAAACAGCCATTGCTTGGAAAACAAAAAAAAAAAAATTAAACGGAAAGAAAATTCTGAGAGTGGTCTGAATATCCCGTCGTGACTTCTTCGGTGGTCATAGGTCAGATCATTCCAGTTATTTAAGTTCAAATCATATTACTCTAGTGATTCAAGATCGAGGAAAAAGAGTGGGCCATCTAGCTGGGGATTTCAAACAATTTGATACGGTCATTTTTCATGCATATCCTACCTGAGTGTGATACGACATTCTTTGTTCGCCGGAAAGTAGTCCGAATGGACAGAAATAGCGCCTGAAATGCCGCTGTTTGGAAGCTCGGTTATAATAATTCGACACAGCGTACGAGATGAGTATAGGACTTCGAATCTACGCTTGAAAAATCGGGATGGAGAAATCTTGTTGCATATATGTTATTTTACAACAGTCAGTGCCAAAAATCCTATGTAAATTCCTGCTATTGGGTGGATAGAGCTTTGTTGCAGAAAATCAGTTGGTGCAAATGTGTGGTCTATGTTTGAGGTATCATAAGGTATCATAAAATCAAAAAAGAACGCGCTGTTCTTTGTGGATATTGTTTGAGTATAGCCATAAGATCGGAAGGTCTGCTGAAAGAATTTGATGTTTACGGAAGAGTATGATCTTTCACAATGTCATTTCAATGCCTGCTAAAATCACTCATTGTATTTCAAGGAGTCAAGGATTTTAAGCATGCAGATATCCAAAGTCCCGAAATTGTTTCAGTTGCAGTCCTCTTTTAATTCTCCATTTTTGCTCGTTGATTGGTTTTGCTTCTACTTCTGAAAATGTGAAGCCACATATATAGGTCCCGGTTGTCACAGTCTCCCATACTTCTGGGTTACGAGCTATAGAATTGGACTCATATGAGGAAGATACAGAGAGCGTTAATCGAGGAATGAAACTTCATGAATCTAAGAAAAAAAGGCCAAATCCGGATTTTCGAGGGCACGTCACAGTGTGACGCCCGGAGAAATCATGACATGGGCAGTTCAAGCCAGCCATGAAAAACGCACATCTTCAGCCACAGGAAATCCAGAAGTGGAAAAAAACAATGGGGCTAGACTTACAGGTGTATTTTCAAGCACAGTGTCCGAGACTATCATGCAATTTCTCTTTTGAAGCGGCTCATATGGACGGCCCCACTCTTCGAACTGAAGTGTCGTTATCCCACAGTCCATGATAAAATGTATTTTTACCATTCAGAAACGCGTTTTGTCATTATGCAACTAATGCTTTCTTCATCAAACTGCATAAGAAGCCTTGGTGATAAGTATATGTGTTTTCCACCAAACCCGTCAGACGCCTTTGAATTAGATTTTTCTCCGCCCAATCTCAGAAAACGACTTTTGTCATGATGAAGATGTTCCTTATTCAATCACATAAAATACCTTACATCATAATTAATTCAAATATATTCTTCATCAAACCCTACAAGACGCCTTGGTCATAATTCAATGTATCATCCTCCCAACCCGTCAGACGCCTCTTAATTAATTGTATTCTCCACCCAATCCCACAAACATCTTTTCTCATCCCAAAACAAAAACTTGTTTCACCAATCTCTAACACACCTGTTGTCGCCCCAAATCGTCTTCCCCACCCAATCCTACACTCAGTCAACATGCCTCCCCAAAAAGGCAGTCTTATTAGTTGGTCTCACGTAGTCATCCTCTCGGCCCGCACTCCACCATACAAACGCGACACGTGACACGAGTCACCAGCAAACAGCATGGAACAACCTCCCCACAGCACAGCATACCCTCCTGAAGTCCGCTTTTTTCTCCTTTTCCATGGGCAATGACAAGGCGCCAGCGCACGTGCGCATCCACAACCCGCTCCTCGACGCCCTCTTCAACGCAGACGAAAAAACGCCGTTCAAAAACACCATACATGAGCTCGCACAAGCACATTCCGATTTCTCGATCCTAGTTCCTCCCGCCTCGGTGCTACTAAATTGCACAGACTTGGCGCGGCAGCGGCTTGTCGAACTTTGCTACACAAACGAAGAGTTTGTACGCAGCCATATAATCCGAACCACGTCGGCGTCGCCAGCGCCAGTGACGCCTGTATCGAAGCAATATCTGCTCATATACAGCACGATGAACGGCAAGCAGATTCTCTTGAAAAACAAGGCGGTTTTCACGGGAAAGGGCTTCCGCAACAGCTTGAAGGTTGCCGTGGTGTCGGTGGGGCATTTCGTGTCGTTTTCCCCGCCTTTCCCCCAGGGATGCTCCTTCTCGTTGATCTATATTGAGGCTTCTTTATACGGCCCACAGCCGGCTGTGGACACGCCGCCCAAAGACCTCCTGGCCCTCAAAAACACGCCTGACCCAAAGGCACAGCACCGGGTGGGTGATTTTGCGGAGTGGCTCCGAAAACACCCGATTCTCGCCAAGACCATGCTGCCCAGTTTCCATGCGCTTTTCCACCACCACAACCGCGACGTCGAGCTGCTCCGAACACAACGCAAAATGCCCCTCACGCAAATCAAGCGGCTTTTCGACCGCCTCGTCCAGGCCGCGTCGCAGATCGTGCAAAGCGCCGTGAACGCAGACACGTCTGAAGGCGAACGCACGTACGACTTGTTGCAGTCGCTTTTGGCGCGTGGCCCGGGGCTCGACATGAACAGAATGATCCACGAGTACGTGGAACTCAACATGTACAAACAAGTGTGGCTGCTGCTCGTCTACCAGTACAAAGACGCTGTTCCGGGCGAGCGGATCGATGACCTGGAGTGTCCCAGAACCGTGCTCACACATGCCTTGTACGACGACTTAGCATGTTTGTCCTTGAACCAGCTCGACGTGCCTGTGACCGCTCCATGGGACCTCAATATCCTCCACCGGCGCGTGGCCGATGCCATCAATATCTTTGCCACTCTTTCGGGGCCCAATGTCGCCAGCCAGCGACTGAAAATCGCCGTGATCAAAGAAACGGTGCTGACTTTGACGGCAGACGCCACGCACGTGTTTTCGGGGCCCGTCATCGACGCAGACACGCTCATTGGGCTCTTGATCATGGTGGTGGTGCACTCGAAAGTGCCGAATCTTGAGGCCCACTTGTTCTACATGCGCAACTTCGGGTTTTCTCTGCAAGGCCCAGAGGGCAACGCCCCCCACGGCACCGACGAGGACTGGGGCTTCATGAGCTACATTCTTAGCAACATCGACGCGGTGATATTCCATCTCCATGGGTCTGGCGACAGCGGCCATCTTGCGGAAATGAGCCTGGCCTCCGCCAAGAACTACAGATTCTGGTACGCCATACAGAAGCAAGATGTGGATACCGTCGAAGCGTTTTTGGACTCGGTGGAGCAAGAGTTCAGTGGCAAAGAGCTCCCAAAGCAGCATGTGTTGCGCAGTAGAAACATCAACGGCGAGAGCTGCTTCCATCTCGCCATCAGAACTCGCAACCACCACATTTTCTCCATGCTCTTGAACCGAACCGAGCAGTGGATTCTCCTAGAAGATCTCATTTTTGACAAGAACACAACCACCAACCAGAACTTGCTAATGACCGCGCTTGAAGAAGAAGTCCCGGAGATTGTCTGTGAATTGATCGATGTTTTCCTTGCAAGCGCCACTCGCGAGGAACAGGCGTTGTATTTCAATTCGAGAGACGCAAATGGCCGGTCTGTCGGCCACTATTTGTCTCACGACCTCTCCGCTTTGGACAGGTTGGGCATGCTTATCGATTGGGAGGCCCGGGACTCAAGCTCACACACTCCGTTGTTCAGCTTTTGCAGATGCTACGACCATCCGCAATACGAACAGTTGGTGGCCAAAGCATTTCGTTTCGTCATGAGTAAAACCACACTGGGACTCATATCCTACGATGCTCATACAGACAGGGCAGGCAACACTTTGCTCCACGCCCTTGCAAGGGGCTTGCCCGAATCACGCTTGCTTTCTGAACCTCGTGTGTTGATGAATGTGAACCAGATGAACCACAAAGGCGTCACTCCTGTCGCCTTGTACGTGCGGTATAATCGGCTTGCTAACCTAGAAAACATATTCAGAGACCCGCGGCTCGTTTTTGACATCGAAGAACCGAAATACTGCTACAATCTCATGGACTACTATTCTTTTTCTGCCAGCAAGAGCTTGGGCGGGCAGAATGAGGAGTTCTTGAAAATAGAACGCTGCGTGGCAGAAAAGTACTTTGGCGAATACTATCCCAGGGGAAATAGCATTCAGATTGGGTTTGTCAATGCAAGATATGACGGTGCAAGCAGCGACTGGACCATCAACACTTTCCATTGTCGGCTGAACTCAAACGGAACTTTCGTGTCCAAGTACATCCCGCTAGAAAAGATACGGCAGTTTTATAAGCTCGTGCAGTTGGAATCCTCCATGAGTTTCTTGCCACCCGAAGAGATATTCTGGATGAATTTTGTACGTGGTAAGACGACAGTGCCCATCTGCTCAAAGTACAAGAGCAATCGCATGTTGGAGCACTTGTCCATGTTTTTTGCTCTCTCAAACTACCTTCGCGCCGACAGAAGGAAGCAGTTTTTGAGACTATTCGCCAAATGCTGCAAAGATGACTCGGCCCTGGGGTTGGATCTTTTAAATGGGATTTCCATCAAGAGGGAATCTGCGCGCAATGCTGTTGGTGACGTGACTCTATCTGAGTCGAATATCCAAGAGATTGTCTATTTCGTCGAGTACTCCATTGCGGATCTCTCGAAGTATAGGCGTGTTTTGAGTGATCTTAATACCCTCACCGCCTTGGCGATCGTGAGACAAAACGACACTCGCAACGTCACTGACCAGTTCTTCTGCAACATTAGCGGGTTGGGGAGGAGCCATCAAGACGGAAGCACTGAGTTTCGGCGGCTTGATGGCCCGTACCTCGAGCTTCAAAAGTATATTGGGTGGATCGAGCAGTGCACGGGGGAACTCATTGCCAAATGCAACTCGGTGATTGAGAAGACTGGGAGGTGGCGCGAGACATACTCAAAAATCAAAGAGATGAACTCGGATCTCCACAAGTTTGAGGATTTGGTTCTTCCACATATGAGCCAGAATGCGCCGGATAACTCGGAAAGTGTAGATAGTGCTCCTTCTGCCATGTCCGACAGCTCAATGTCCAGGAGAAACACGCTATCACTCGGTGAAATGCCTCTAGAAGAGGATCCAGAAGACGGCTTTTTCTTTAGCTTTGGCTTGATAGACAGCAAGAAATCCCGCTACCGAAAACTCGTGCTTGCGAAATCCGAGGAGGTCAAGAAACTCATGGATCTCAACGTGGACATCAAGATTGTCCACGAGGCGTTGGCGGCGGAAATCTCGCAGTTTTTGGAGTACAGGTCGGGCGCATTGAAGTTTGGCATAAGGCAGTTTACGAACAGGTCGTTGGTTCTGTTGCGAAACCGCCACTTTGAGCTCTCGAAGCTTCTTTATGGAACTCGAACATACATGAGCCCGACGTGAACAGGTGGTTGGTGTCATGCATGCGTTGTTTCGCAAAGAGCATAGTCTGCTCTTGTGAATACCAGGCAAACGTACAAAGCTAAGCATGCGCCTCAGACCGGGTCTGGCCTGGGAGACTTCTGGTGAGTCACGAGGTCCCAAGAGCGCAACGGTCCCCCATTTGAGATTTTGAAAGACGGTGGTCTAATATGAGCGCCACGGTTCCCCATTTGAGATTTTGAAAGACGGTGGTCTAATATGAGCGCTCTGCGGTTCAATTGACGCTGCTGATTATGATTTCCTGAGGTGGGGCACAGGACTTATAGAAAGCTGCCGACAATGGGTCTAGTCTCTAGCGGTAAAAGTCGACCTGACTGCTGATCAGAACCATTTGACAGGCTGAAGAAGAGAGAAGAATCAGAAAGGGAAAGGGAAAGGATAGGAGGGAGAAGAAAAAGAGTAAGAGGGAGAAGAAATGAAAAAGAAGGAGAGGGGAAGCGGAGATGAAGGGGAGATGAAGGAAAAAAAGACAAAGAAGAAGAACAAAGAAGGAGAAGAAAATGAAAAAAGAATAAAGCGAAGAATACGAAGAAGGCAAAGAAGGAAGGAGAGAAGAGAATAAGAAGAGAAGAAAAGAATAAGAAGAGAGGAAAAGATAAAGAAGAGAAGAAAAGAATAACAAGAGAAGAAAAGAACAACAAGAGAAGAAAAGAACAACAAGAGAAGAAAAGAACAACAAGAGAAGAAAAGAACAACAAGAGAAGAAAAGAACAACAAGAGAAGAAAAGAACAACAAGAGAAGAAAGGATCAAGAAGAGAAGAAAAGATCAAGAAGAGAAGAAAGGATCAAGAAGAGAAGAAAGGATCAAGAAGAGAAGAAAAGATTAACAACAGAAAAAAAGAACCTAAAGGAGAAGAAAAAGAATACGGCGAAGAATATGAAAAAAGAATACGGAGGAATGGAGTCAGGACACGGATATCAACGGAAACAACAAACACACCACCCGCAGTGCCCGATGCCAGTCGATACCCAACACCACTATATCCTCAATCCCTTCATGGCACCGGTGGCCTGGATACAAGCCGCGATGCATGCGCCGTCCCGAAAAAGCCTATTCTGGAGACCGTGGCGGCAAGCCCCGAGCCAGACCCGGTATCCCAGAATTCAGCCATCGCCCGAAAGGGCACAGCCCGACGGCTTCGGGGACCAGGCCCCAGAATTTGCACCCGGAACCTTCTGGAACACCCGTGCACCCGCGCGCACCGTGGGGATCGTCAGGGCCACACGCCTAAAACACGCCTCCCCAGCAGCCACGCCCCCATTTCTCAAGTCCTCATTTGCATCTACCTCCCACCCGACCCAGTGCACAAAACAACACACCCGAAAATGGCAATCACTAAGCAAGAATTGGCGTTGGCCATCATCGATTTCTTGGCGGCCAGCGTCGCCGACAAGACCGTCAGCGAGGAGTTCTCCGAGTCCATCGATGTCGCTGTGGAGTGTATCACCGACGCCTTCTCCGTGGACAAAAGCGACGCGCCAGCGGCGCTTGCCAAGCTCGGCGGCAAGGGTTTGCTTGCCGCCGTCAACGGCGCCGGGGCCGGTGCCGCCAGCCCCGTGGCGCCCGCGGCCAAGGAGGAATTAAGCGCCGAGACCAAGGCACAAGCCGACGCCTTGAAGGCCGAGGGCAACAAGGCCATGGCGGCCAAGGACTTTGCCACGGCGATCGCCAAGTACACGGAGGCCGTGGGCTTGGACGCGACCAACGTGGTGTACTTGTCGAACCGGGCCGCGGCGTACTCGTCGGCGTTGCAGCACGACAAGGCGGTCCAGGACGCTGAGGCGGCCATCCAGTTGGACCCCGCGTTCTCCAAGGCGTACTCGCGGTTGGGCTTGGCGCAGTACGCGTTGGGCCACGCCAAGGAGGCGATGGAGGCCTACGAGAAGGGCATGGCCGTGGAGGGCGCCCAGCCCTCGGATGCGATGAAGAGAGGCTACGAGACCGCGAAGAAGCGCGTTGAGGAGGAGTTGGAGAGCAGCATCAGCAAGGCGGAGCCCGAGACGTCGCGTGCCGCGGCCGGCGCAGAGGGCGCTGGTGCTGGTGCCGGTGCTGGTGCCGGTGCTGGTGCCGGTGCCGGTGCCGGCGGCTTGCCCGACTTGGCGTCGATGTTTGGCGGGGGCATGCCCAACTTCTTGGAGATGATGAGCAACCCGCAGGTGATGCAGGCCGCGCAGAACTTGATGTCCAACCCCGGGGCCATGGAGGGCTTGATGAACAACCCCATGCTCCGGCAGATGGCGTCCAGCATGGGCGGCGAGGGCGGGCTCGAGGGCCTCATGAGCAACCCGGACTTGCAGAACATGGCGCGCCTGTTCATGGGCAACCCGGCCTTGCAGAACATGGCGCGCCTGTTCATGGGCAACCAGAACGGCGCCGACAGCAGCTCGGACAACTGAGCGCGGGGACCATGGACGTGCCCTCGGGAAAGAAGTTTTACACGCAGGTAGAAAATGTATGTAATTCGGGCCTCCACGAGAACTCCAGCGCACGGCACGCGCTGGGCCGTCGCATGCCCCGCCCGTTTGGCGGGCCATTCCCGCCGGGTCTGGTCTGGTCTGGCCGGGTCGCCCGGCGCCCGCGCCCGCCGCTGCCTGCAGGCCATGTGTTTACATAAAACACCCTGCTCTTCGATGGAAGCCGCCCAAGCATCGCGCCACAAGACCACCGCCACCCTCTCCGCGCCGGCCCCACACTCCCACACGGGCTTCCCAGCAGAACCCAGGCCCCGCAGCGGTATCTCCAAACAGCGCCCTCCCGAAACCTCGACCCGTGTGCCTGGCTCGCACGACCCCCGCCTCTGCGCATCGCACGGCACCCCAAGCACACTGTTGCCTGCCGAAACGCCCGCCGCCGAGCGTGTTTCCGCCGCCGCCGGCCGCCCCGAGGCCGGCCCTGCCCCCGGGCGTGCCGCACGTGCAACCACGGGCCAAAACGCCCCGGGCCCGGCCCACCAAGCCGGAACCGGGCATCAGGAGCCGCCCGAAGCGCGGCGGCTCCCGCCCCACGGCGGCAGCAGCCCGCACATGCCGCTGTCCGCCGCGCGCCCGGCCTCCCGCCAGTCGTCCATCGGCGTGGCCGTGCGCGTGCGCCCGTTCACCGCGGAGGAGGCCCGGCGACTCGAGGCCGAGCCGCGCACGCCCGTCTTCTCGGGCGCCGGTGGGCTCCTGGACACTGCGGCCAACCCCGCGGCCGGCCCCGGGCGGCCCGTGCCGGGCGCGCTCCGCAAGATCGTCAGCGTGGTCGACGACCGCATGCTCGTGTTCGACCCGCCCGAGCAGAGCGCGCTCGCGTCGATGCAGCGGCGGGCGTTCCCGAACGCGGCGGTGCGCGGGCGGCTCCGCGACTGCCGCTTCGTGTTCGACCAGCTCTTCGACGAGTCCGCGTCGCAGCACGACGTGTACACGCGCACGACCAGGCCGCTCCTCGACAGCGTGCTCGACGGGTACAACGCCACGGTGTTTGCGTACGGCGCCACGGGCTGCGGCAAGACGCACACGATCCTGGGCACCGCGGACGCGCCCGGCGTGGTGTTCTTGACCATGGCCGAGCTCTACCGCAAGATCGGGCTCCTCGCGGACACGCGGCACGTGGACGTGCAGGTGTCGTTCCTCGAGATCTACAACGAGACGATCCGCGACCTCCTCGCGCCGGCCACGCCGGCCAAGGCGCTCGTGTTGCGCGAGGACCTGGCGCAGCGCATCGTGGTGGCCAATCTCCTGACGCACCGGCCCGCGTGCGTGGCGGACGTGATGCGCTTGCTCGCCGAGGGCAACCGCAACCGCACGCTGTCGCCCACGGAGGCCAACGCCGCGTCGTCGCGGTCGCACGCGGTGCTCCAGATCCACGTGGCGCTGCGCGCCCGCACGGCCGCGTTGAGCGAGGAGCACACCCACGCCACGCTCTCGGTGATCGACCTCGCGGGCAGCGAGCGGGCCGCGGCCACCAAGAACCGCGGGCCGCGCTTGAACGAGGGCGCCAACATCAACAAGTCGCTCCTCGCGCTCGGCAACTGCATCAACGCGTTGTGCGACCCGGGCCGCCGCAACCACGTGCCGTACCGCGACCTGAAGCTCACGCGGCTCCTCAAGTTCTCGTTGGGCGGCAACTGCAAGACCGTGATGATCGTGTGCGTGTCGCCGCTGTCGCAGCACTACGACGAGACCTGGAACACGCTCAAGTACGCGGACCGCGCCAAGCAGATCAAGACCAAGCTCGTGCGCAACCGCCACAGCCTCGACCGCCACGTGGGCTCGTACCTCAAGATGATCACCGAGCAGAAGCTGGAGATCGACGAGTTGCGCGCGCGCGAGGACGCGGTGGTGCAAGCTGCCGCCGAGCGGCTCGCGGCCCAGAACGCCGCGTGCCTCGACGCCCTCATGGCCGCGGTGGCCAGCTTGCGTGCCACCGTGGACCGCCCGCACCACGACAAGTGGCGCCGCTACTTCCTGCTCGCCAAGCGCAAGTTCTTGCTCTTGCACCTCCAGGAGTTGCACCAGGTGCTCGCCCACGCACAGCACGGCGGCCCGGGCACGCGGTCGCACGCGGTGCGCCGCTTCGTGGTCCAGGCGGAGCAGCTCCACAACAAGCTCAGCGAGCAGGTGGTGCGCTTGGAGCGGTTCTACGACGCGCGCCAGCAGGTCGACGACATACTCGAGGCGTCCGTGGCCCACGCGCTTGCGCGGTGCCAGGAGATGGACGGCTGGGGCGCCGCTCACACCCGCGTATTCCAGGACGCGGTGGACCTGCTCCGCCAGCGCTTGCAGCGCGACGTGCTCATCAACTCGTCCGTGTTGTTCGACTACTTGGTGGGCCAGATGGGCGACTTCTCGTATCTGTCGCAGGTGCTCGGCCACACCATCGACTCCTCGCAGCGGTACCGCGCCGGCGGCGGCGACGCGCGTGCGGAGGCCGCCGTGGACGATGCGCTCGACAAGGCCACGGCGGTGCTCCAGCGGATGAACGGCCTGGACTACGACTTGGCTTTGGAGGCCGCAGCGTCCCGCTTCATCGATGCCCGCGAAGACGCCGGCCTGCCCACGCCCGCCGCTGCGGGCTCGCCCCCTTTCATGGTCCTGCCCGGCGGCTCGGTCCTCCCGAAGCGGCTGTCCACGTCGCCGCTCCGCAACTCGCCGGCCACCAAGCGCAGCTTGAGGCTGCGCCGGGCCAACTTCGCGCTGGAATCCGGCCGCTCGGACTCATCCTCGGGCGGGGTGCTCGCTGAAGACAGTGACATCAGCATGGACAACTCGGCGCTTCTCCCGAAAAGCGACCTCGAGGAGGACTCGCCCATCTCGAACCGCGTCAACTCGTCGATGCTTGACTTCGACGCGATGGACTGCGCGTCCGTGCTTGACTCTCCGCCGGCAAAACGCGCTGACCGCGAGGCCCGGGGCCGGCCCGCTGGCTCGCCGCAGGGCGCCTTGGCTGAATACAAACTCGCCCTTCCGGCGAACCCCGGCCCCACGCCCAAGCACCTGTTGCTAAATAAGCAGGCCAGCACGAAAGTCGCCAGCGAGGCATGCCCGGACGCCAACCCGGCCGGACCTGACCTGTGCCCTGACGCGAACAGCAGCATGGTGGGCTCCGACTAGTCTTTCCTGCTGCTACGAGGGATTCCAAACTCACATTGCATTATGATCTACTCACTTGCCCAGGCTGCATTGCAAAAGTCTCACGGCGGAGTGGTCCAACCACGTGCATGCTTCTAGGTGTACTCCACATACCCGGACCCATACGAGTCGCCTCCGCCACCAGTGGTACCGAAACCTTTGCTGGGGCCCTCATAGTCGTGCTTGCCTCCACCGGGTGACCCAAAGGCATCATCGAATGAACCGAGCGACTCTTGGGCTCGTCTGGCTCCATAGATGTCGCCGCCTTCGCCGGGGACTCCCGTGCTGGTTCTTTCTGAAGAGCCATACGCGTCGCCCGAGTTCTGGAACGGGTCGTCCATTCCCGCGGCAGGCTCGTATTCGGTTTTGGTCAACTTGTACTGGTTACCAGAAGACCAGAAGTCGCCGCCTGCAACCCCAAACGATTCCTGGGGTGGCATGTGAGACCCGTACGAATCTTGTGTGTTCTCGGACAAGCTGTGGTTGTCCTTTGAGCTGGGAGAAATGCCCTCGGCCCGTCCTGAGGGACTGTGAATCTCATTGCTCTCCGATGGAATGGAGACAGGGTTACCAGCGGACGGTCTGCGTGACTCTCCGGGCACAGTCGTATTTTGGGTCTTGCCAACAGAGCCATCGTCATCACTGGAGTCCTTTCCCAAAACTCCCTTGATTTTGTCCCCAACCTTTTTTAGTGTCGATTTGTGGTCATGGTCGTGGTGTTCATGATGGTCATGGTGATTCCGATGGTCATGGTGGTCCTGATGGCCATGGTGGTGATACTGGTGGCTGTGGTCGTTTATGTTACTATTGTCGTTTGCGTTGAAAGACATTTTCGATAGTCCAATATACAAGGTAGAGCACACAAAGGAGATGGGCTTTAAATATACGCGGACTTTGTAGTATGTGCTGCAGATGAAGATAGCAACTGGAGGCTTCTAAGGGAATGTCAAGGGATGACCAAATACGTTTACGTTGTCTTGCTTTGCTTTTCATCCAACACTTGCTACTTGGGTAATATATAGGCTATTCCGAATGACGAGACACCGCTATACACAGTCTGGATAAGGCACGATGCTGCCTTTGTGCAGATCCATATTCTCTGGCCAATGCACGAAATGAATGATTTCGTCGTATATGCAGACCACCGATCCGAGACGCGGGGTCTGGCGCGTGTTGTAGCGTTTGCTTGCATTTTACCGCGGTGTGTTTTGCGATGGATGACTTCAGGGTTTCTATGGGTGACGACGAGGATTGTTCAGCATCGCATCGCTTTGGCGGGTGTTTCTCAATGAACATGTAGTATTTCGTGAGTGTTATCATTGCTCTATACGGCTATGCTATAGTAATTCGTACGTGCATCGATAGTGTTTTCAAATGCAAAATGTAGGAGAGACTTCAATTAGGACCGTATCTTGGAACAAGTGGCCGATGGAATGAGATGTGTGCCATCACACAATCACGCAGTCCTTGTCCTGGGCCTCCAGATCTGTGGTCGGGGGCTGATACTTCTTGGCTTTCTTCAACTTCTTGGTGATGGCCGCCACCATCTTGGGATCTTGCACCCTGCCGAGAGCCCTCTGCTGACCGTTTTCGGCAGCCTTGATATACCACACCTGAGCCTCGGCGGTGTTTCTTTCGCAACCAATGCCCTTATCGAGGAAATTGGCCACCACGAACTGCGCCTTGGCGTGTCCGCACGAAGCCGCTCTCTTGGCCCACTCGAACGCTTCCTGCTCGTCCTTCGGGAAGTGGGGCTCGGAGCCGACCATGTACCACGCGCACATGGCGAGCATCGACTGAGCGTGGCCGCCCAACGCAGCTTTCGTATAGTAGTGGATGGACAAGTTCGGGTCGGAGGCCAAAATGGTGCCCACCTCGTAGTTGTGGCCCAAGATGGCAGAAGCCTCCACGTGGCCAAGTGCGGCCGCTTGTGAAAACAACTCCAACGCATACTTTTCGTCCTTGATCAAAATGTCGGAGTAGCCAGTCTGGTAGAGCTTGCCGAGCTCGTAGGGCGCCGCCGAGGTCAACTCCGTCGCCACACCCAGCGCACGCTCGAGCCACTTGATGCCCAACTTCTTGTTGACGGGGCTGTCGCTGATGCCCATGCGTGCGTAGAGAAAGTAGATGCCGAGCTTGTACATGGCGGCGGGGTGGTTTTTGGACGCGGCCAGCTTCAAGAACTCGACGCCCTTGCGGGCATCGCGCCCCGTGCCCATGCCCTCCTCGTAGCAGTGGGCCGTACGGAACGCGCACTCGGTGTGGCCGCGCTTGGCCGCAGAGAGGAAGAGGCTGAACGCCTCCTTGTTGTCGATCTTGCCGAACGCGCCGGAGCTGTAGGCGTCGCCAAGGAAGTACTGCGCCTCGACGTAGCCCTTGTCGGAGAGGCGCCGGAGGTAGCGGAAGGCCTCCTTGAGGAGCGAGGCGCGCAAGTCCGGGTCTGGCGACACGCTCTGGTCGAGCGAGAGCGACAGCGCCGAGCGCAAGTGCAGCCGGGTGTCGGTGAGCGGGGTTGCCGGCGCGGTGGCGGCGGACGCGCGAGACGCGTCGCTGGAGGACACCGACGCCGAGGTGGGGTCGAGCAAGAGCGCTGTCTGGAGCATGTACTGCGCGTACTGGAACAAGACGGCCGGGTCGCTCAGCTTCTTGGCGTTCTTGCGGTACATCTCGATGGTCTTCATGCGCGGCATCAAGTGCGAGCTGTTGGCGCCCAAGTGCTGGTGGATCAAGTTCTGGTTGAAGTCCAACGTCGGGCCCATGTCCCCGCGGTCGAGGTACATGGACAGGGTCAGAGAGAACAGGCGGTTGTGACCGTTGTGCAGTGCCAGGCCTGCGGACGAGCTGTGGCTGCCAGACGCCTGGTGGGTGTGGCCCCGGAGCTCGTCGTGCGGGCTCGTCGACGGCGACCCGGTGGGCTCCGGGAACTGCAGCAGCATTTTCAGGCGCGAGAGGTGCTGCGTGATGTCGGGGATCTCGCCCGTGGAGAGGCTCTCGGACGACGCCAAGGGGCCCAAGTTGAAGCGGGGGCTGGCCATCATGGCGGCCGGCACGGCGCGGTTGAGCTGCGACGCCTCGTCTAGCGGCGCGTGCTGGGCGTCTGTTTTTGTGTGCGGCTCGAGCTCGCCCAGCGGGTACGGCGTGACTTTTTGTCTGTACGGATGCACGGACATGGCCGATCAGGGGGTGGCCGGGTCAGGGGGTGGCCGGGTTCGGGCGTTTGGCCGGCTGCAAAGATCTGACGGGATCCGACAAAAAGACCGGTGCCGAGGAAGAGACCGGTTTTGAAGAGGAATGAGGTCTCGATTCAAGATCGGTTCCCGGGAGGAAGTGGGTCCGAAAGGCAAGTGGGTCCGAAAGGCAAGTGGGTCCGAAAGGCAAGTGGGTCCAAACAGAAAGCGGTCCCAAAAAAAGTGGCTCCAAACAGAAAGCGGTCCCAAAAAAAGTGGCTCCAAACAGAAAGCGGTCCCAAAAGGAAAGTGGCTTCAAAAAGAAAGTGCTCTCCAAATTATAAAGAGGGCTGGCCGAAACGAGCGTCGGGTCGGGCACTAGGGTGAACGGACGGGACGCTAGTGGATGGCTGCTTTTGGAGATCCACGTGCCGGGCTCAAAAAAAAAAAGTGCTGCTGGAAGAAGGGGCGGCTGGCGCTTGGTGTAGGCGCCTGTTTTTGTGTCCGGAGGCAGGGCTGGCGGGCCGGGCTTAACTATAGGTGTGCGCTGGCAAGCAGGGCGCCGTAGAAAGGGGCGACTATTGTGACGGCTGTAAAGAGGCTTTTACAGCGGGAAGAAAAACGTGGTCCTGAGCAACGGGGGCCTGTGTGGAGAAGTGGGAGGGCAGAGAATTGATGTTTTTCCCGGCGGCTAGAGGCGGTGTTCCTTCAGGTGCTCGTTTTTCGCTCCGCCTGTATAAAAAAAAGGTGTTTGGGGAAGGCTCTGCTGGCGCGGGCGTTCTTGGCTAATAAAAGCCGAGCGTTGGTGTACGAGGTCTGGGCTGGCGGGGCCTGTGCGGAGGCTGGGGCCACAGGGTTTGGATTTTATTTTTTGGTTTGAGGTTTTGGGATTTTCAGTTCTTGTATTTGAATTTTGTGTTTTGCGTTTGTATCTGTATATATTTGCACGTGGACTTGTCTTTTGTCTTGTTCTTGTGACTGGTCTTTTGTCCTTTTGCTTGTGTTCCGATCGGTTCTGCTTTGGTGCTTCTTTCTGGTTCTATTTATTCGCTCCTCTTGCGCTGGGCGGCTCTGTTTCATGGAGCCCTATGCGGGCCGCCGGAGCCGGCGCTTTCCGCAATGCGGCCCGCCAAGCAGCCTGCAAACGCGTGGCGCTGCATGCACCACTGCAACCGAAAGGCGATGCGCCGAGGCCTTAAGACGCCTCCGCTTGGCGGCGCCAGCCAGCCACACAAACATGCGTTCATCTTAGGGCGCCTCCACCGAAACACGCTTCTTTTTTTTTCTTTGTTCGTGCGTGGCTTGTCCCTGGTGGATGAGATCATCAAACGTGGCGGCCCGCGCCAAAGATGAGCCTGCGCTCCGCCTCCTTTCTGTATGGACACGCGGCGCGCCTGCAGACAGCCCGCCTAGGGCTCGCAAGCCTCGTTCCCATCAAGTTCCTGGAATACTGTCGTAAAACGTTGGGGCCATTTGTCTGTTTCACAGGCAGGAGAGGCATTTTAAAGGGGCAGATGCCCGGGGCAGGGGTTATTTCCTGATTCCACCCGGGCCGGGTGCATGGCAGCTCTTTCGGCGTCTATTTGTGGACTCTAAGATGAGGGGACTCTCATGGCACTTTCTTAAAGGACGTCTCTTGACAAGACATCTGTTTCTGGATCGTGCAGAACATGCCTTGAAGGGCGTGTTTATAGGGTTTTCAACAACATGCGTACACAGCGTCTATTCATGGGGTAGCTCGTCATGGGACGGCTTCTTAGCGGGCTTCTTAGCGGGCTCTTTAGCGGGCTCTTCACCGGGCATCTCTACGTAGTCAGCTCTCAAAGTAATCACTGATGGGGGCATCTGTTCACACGACACCCTTGTGGGGCCAGCATGGCATTCTACCACAGCAGCTGTCATGGCACGGCCCGACAGATAAAAATAGAACTAGCCACGCGTGGCTACGTCATGTCCGAGCCGCGCCGCGCTGTCGGATTTGCCGACGCACACCAGCCAATGTAGGGCGCCAGGAGTTGATATCAGGGCCGCACGACGACGTCACGGCCGCGGGGTTTGCTAACCCGCGGCCGGAGGACAAGCAAGCGAACGTCATCCCGAATCCTTGCCTCCATCCACAGGGACACGTTTGGCCTTGCTCGTTTTGGCATGGCACGGGCTGCCGGTGGAGCCGTCTTGTGAGGACGGAAGGGGCCTTTTCGGGTGAGCTTCCGAGACGCCCGCCGCAGATGCACTGGCAAGGCCGACGAGCGTTTTGCCACAGATGCAGCGTGTGGGGGTTCCAGGAATATTCTTCGGGTGCAAAATCTCAGGCCCCGCATCAGGGTGGTTTATCTGGGTTGTCCAACTGAGGCATGGTCTGTGAGTGCAAAACCTCAGATATATTCTCTGGTGCATCTCAGGTATAGTCTCGGGGTGGTTTATCTGGGCTGGCCATCTCAGATCCATCCTGACTGTTCCACCTCAGATACAGTGTGACTGCTCCATCTCCGATATTCCGACTGTTCCATATCAGATACGTTCTGACACTCAGATCCATCCTGACTATTCCAGGTCAGATACATTCCCTGACTGCATCTCAGATATTCCGGGTGCTCCATCTCAGATATTCCGACTGTTCCATGTCAGATACGCTCGGACTGTTCCATCTCATATGTTTCCACTGTTCCATCTCAGATAGATGTCCTGATTGCATCTCGAATCCATTCTGACCGTTCCGTCGCAGATATTCTGACTGCCCCTCAGATATTCCGAGTTCCATTTCAGATCCACTCGGACTGCCGTGTCAAAGAAATTCTGACTCCCCTTCAGATATTCCGAGTTCCATTTCAGATCCACTCTGACTGCCGTGACAAGGAAAGTCTGACTGCATCTCAGATATCCCGAGTTCCATCTCAGATCCACTCTGACTGCCGTGACAAGGAAAGTCTGACTGCATCTCAGATATCCCGAGTTCCATCTCAGATCCACTCTGACTGCCGTGACAGGAAAGTCTGATCCCCTTCAGATAT